AATAGCAACAATGTTCAACGTGACGACAATCCAAAATACATTACGAAGTCGCCAGATAGAAAGTGGATTAATTAATGACAATAGTTATATTATTGAATTAAATTAGTTAAAATAGGATTTTAGGATAGTTTAGGATTCGTGTAGAAAGTTTTTATTTAAGATTAGCAAGACGTGAGATCTAGAGGGAGCGCACGGGATGGCTCAACTGCTGTGATAGTTAAAAGATAACGCGTGGTACAGACACGTCCAGCTACACCGCGACTTAGCACAGCAGAACGCTTTGTTGACATAAAGCTCGTTAAAATACAATCAAGTAGCAAGTAGCATAGGCTACAATACTTTACACTATTGTGTAGATACTCGATTACCTGAGTTAATAGGGAGAGGGGGGGAATGAAAAATACGGTTAATCCAATATAGTATAAAAACAGATGACAAACTCATTAAAACGCTGTAAACAGCCATAAACGTCACGATTTACATTTTTATAAACGAAATTCAATATTGCACAATCATTATTATTGTAAATTTCAAATCATTTATCTTGGTTCAGTTGTACAAACGGAAACGTTTAAAATTGTAGCTAACTCAAACTCAACTAATCACTAGCCAAACATTGTATTGCTATAAATAACGTAAATTATTAAAGGAACCTTTAGAAAGTGTTATAAGGTACTGCTCATGATAGACGGATAGGCTACCGATAGGTGCTGTAACACAGCATAGGAATTGATAGATAAGTAATAAAAAATTGTAAAATTATATTGAGAGATAACTAAAACACTCTTAAAAAAGAATGTAACGAGAACAATCTTGTTATTCTCTTTCTTTGTTCTTCTGTTCTTTAATAGGTTTCTCTTCAATTCATACACGAATTCAACAAGTCGCCATATTTAGGTCTACTCATTGGCCAATCACAGCCTTACTAAAGTTACCATGGTTATCACTCAATCACAGTGTACTAAGCATTATATCGTCATCATTCCCTAGAGCTGTTGTATCTGAAATCTGTTGTAACATAGCGCACAGCAGACAGAAGTGTACGGAGCAGACGATTGTTGGCGCAAGCGTTGTTTCCATTTCATTTTCATCAAAGGAGCTGTGATGTTTCTAAAGGGAGGGAGAGGGGATCGTAATATCGAGAAAGACGCTGACAATTCGTTAAGCAGGTTACGAACGCTGTATGGATATTCTGGCAATAAAAAATTCCTTAAATTGAGGTGATTTATGAAACTCTAATTTTATTTATATAGAAAGATAAGTTTTCCAGTCCTGTACAACACTGATTCACGGTCTTTTCCCTGTAATCAAAATTCAAGTACAACTTGATACAAACAGAATCTCCGGTTCCCGACCTGGATGATGGCTAGTTATTTCATTTAATTTACAGTTACATATTAGTACTCGTGATAAATCAAACCCGTTATGTAAGCCAAAGCCACACGGTTATTAATCTCACTTGGTTTTGGATTTGCTTACAAACGTGATCGGAAATGGTTAGGGCCTACACAGTATTCTTAAAGAACATTTATGTAAACATATCAGTGACAGCTAGGAAAAGGAATCTTTATCAAAACAGCTGCTCATAATTTCATACATGACGTGTTCTCATAACAGATTATTAGTATTTCATAAATTAATGACGTATGTAGTAAACATGGAGAAAATAAACTTGAAAAATCACACAAAATTGTGTTTTTGATCGTCCGTTATTTTATTTCCAAAATAGTGAGGCCATATTTTAATGGCTATAAGGACTCTCTCGCCAATCTTGTGGATACAATTAAACCATTAGAATCATAATCGGTACTCTAGTTTTCTTTAGAGTAGGCCATGAGTAGGCTGCATAAAATGCATTCTGGGCCGTGACGACAGACGGACATAAATTGAGATAAGACATGTTTCAACTTCTTCAATGTATAAAACATAAATATCCCAAATTATGTACAATTCTGAGCAATTTTCAGACAAAACTATAACTTTATTGATATAGATTAACTGGGTTTGAATTTTAAATATCTAAAAAAATTATAAAACTTCTTTTATAGTTTTACAAATAGTGCTGGGCGGGGGAATAATGTTTCTAATTTGTTGTGTACATCATTTATGGGGGGGGGCTGTTGCTCAATTGCGGGGGGGGGGGGTTGCGTCATGAGTCTAGGGGGGGATGGGCACCCCTGTTTAAAGCCAAGCACAATAATGGTACTTGAGACTTGAGAACACCTAACCGTGAATGAACCACTTTTACTCTCCTTCTCAGAGGCCTTTACATCTTTATCTTATTTCCTAAATGATGCTTTGGCAAGCTTTTTATCCTGGCAATTAGTTCACTTAACATTTTTCATTCGCCATCTCCATGGAAGGTTATAAATAGACTTTTACTCCATTTCCAATACATCCTGGTAAATTTAAAAATTACGGTAAAAAAAAGACACAATCCAATACACATGTGATCGCTGAAATATATTGACATTCCCCCACGGGCACGAAAACATCATTATCGCCGCCCGCGATCGTCGCAATATATATTCAAATATATAATGACATTCCCTCGCGGTCACGAAGACATCATTATCGCCGCCCGCGATCGCTGCAATATATTGGCATACCCCCGCCGTCGATAAGACATCTATCTTCATTGCCTCCCGTGATCGCTCTGCAATACATATATTGAAATTCCCCCGCGGTCGCGCAGACATCGCCGTCGCCTCCCGTGCGAACGTTGCAATAATATTTACATTCTTCCTCAGTCACGAAAACATCATCATCATCGACACCCGTGATCGCTGCAATATATTGACATTCCCCCGCCGTCGATAAGACATCGACATCTCATCGCACATCCCGTCATCGCTGCCATATATTGACATTCCCCCACTGTCGATAAGACGTCGTCATCACATCCCGTGATCGCTGCAATATATTGACATTCCCCCGCCGTCGATAAGACATCGACATCTCATCACATCCCGTCATCGCTGCCATATATTGACCATCATCATCGTATACCGGGATCTCGGCGAAACTAATGTTATCCCGCGGTTGCGAAGATCTCGTGTTGTTGCGACAAACACATGTTAGATATGAATAGTGGAGATTTAATTAATCTAGTGTTTAGTAGAGTTGATTGATTCAAAAAATTATTTTTTGGGCTACTTTAAAAAATAAAACTATCAATAGAATGCTTGTATTAATTCCCCTCCCACCTCCAATGAATCCCAGTGGCGTAATTGTTACAGCTAACCCCTATCTGGGCACCCCTGAATGAAAGTTGAAAAGTTATTTTGTCAATGTGATAAATAATTATATTTTTCGTCATACTGCACCATTCTAACCTAATTATAATTCAAAAACGAAAAGTTTTATCCATTGTTTCCTTTAGACAAATTACAAATTAGCTCCCAAAATACGATTTGGTTATCAAATACAAAAATGTTATATGCACTAGGTATTACTCCGCTGACACAATTTATTAAAAACTTAGTTTTCTAAAAAATGTTAACATGTCCATTTATCTAAATGTCGATAAAGAGGTTACGTGTATGTAATAAAATATGTAGTTAGTGCGACACGGTGGTATTTTTAATCAGGACTATTTTCTGGCCGACAAATCGGCGGACGAATTTTAAGTTTAAAAAAATACAGCTGATGTCCTCAGCCTCAGCTGCAGTTTATTTAAAGGATAAACAGAATTACTCCAGTCCCACAATAACGCATGACATTGAAAACTAGTGGAACTTAATTTTTAACTAGTGGACCTAACCTACGCAGTGGAAGGTCAGAAATAATTCTTGACTACAATTATTGTATTCAATAGGTATGCAATGTAGGCCTACTCAACAAATTTGTTTTTGTTATTTGGAGATTATTTTTTATATTTAAAATGTCGATATTAGAAAATAAGTGCAATATTACGAGTAGCAAAGATCAGATCAACCTGTTATGGTCATGATAAGCAATACTTAATACGTAATTATTCATAATTAATTATGGAGCTGTCGGATTCACCATGAAAATGAAAAAAAAACAACCATATATGAACCATATCAGCTTATATCAATGATATTGGGCTTTAAAATAAATGGTTATAGGCCTATCAGTAAACCCCTTTGTTTATGGTGTTAGGATGGTATCACCTGAATTACCTCCCTCGACGTCCATGGCCAGCTCTTGCTGGATAGACAGAGTCAAACTATTTACCATTAATATATATAGACTATATACATATTTACAAATTTACATTTTGCAGTTTATCATTTGAAACAATGTCGTCATTGTTTTTATCATAATCTTTATTTGTTGCCCATATAGTGTTATATTTAAGTAAACATTTTAGGTTTGCTCCAAAATACTATACTAACTTGTAGAGCGTAAATTTATTTACGTAATTAATTTTATTTTCCTGTTAGAGTATTTTGATAAAGTTTCTCTAGTCTTGTAATGAGTTGCATGTTAGTAAGAAAACAAAGTCTAGTTACATCGAGAGTAAACGTGAGGACGAATTTCATTAAAATAAAAGAAAAGTTAAAGAAAATTACGGTGAAAACAAAATTCACGTCGTTTGCAGGTTTGCTGAGACGGACATTTTTGTGTGTTTTTTTTTATTTTAAAATATTATTCGAACGTATTTCATTATGTATCTAAAAGCATCAGTTTACGTTTCAAAAAACACCCATGTTTGGCGTGTCTTTTAATATAGAACATTTTTTTTTACCGTAGAAGAGTTTACATAAACCAAAATTTCAAGTACAAATAAGTATATATTTTAATTAAATATATACTTTTATTATTATATTTATGTTTCATAAGTCACCGGGATAATTTTATTTTTAAACATTTACAATACTGTCTTAATGTGCATAGTTTCATATTATCGCACCCAGATAAGACATCATAGTTTTTACAACAACATATGGTCTATGGTCGATCAGAGACCCGATCTAACTCAGTTGGGAGTCGAACCTGGGTTAACAGAGAAAAGATAATAGCGCATCACATACCATAAGGTTGCGAATGTGGTTGACAATCGGAGGCGGGGTGAAGATCCTGCCGAAAATAGAAACGACTTTCCCTTCCAACTTGAAGATTCTGAGGACTGTAGGGTCAGATCTGAGGTGTCTGCTAGGTAATGGGTAACTGGCCGGGAGCAGTGTTGTGGGGGTTGTCGGTCGTCGGTCGCGCCTGTCACACACACGATGCTGCGCGGAGTGCGCGCTCCTGTATCGACCCCGGTATCACTCTTATCACAAGCGCGTGCCCTCGCCACAACCCCGTAACCCATGCCTTCGTAAGTCCCCAATCTGGAGTTGTATCTGACACATTTGAAATATGTTTTCAGAATTAGTTATATGATCCTTCAAAATCAGTTGGATTTTTATTTTGTGATTATCAACACCATTGACCTTTTACACTTATTTTTAAGGATTCGGTCCAACCCCTGGTCTTGTTACTATCTAACGATCACCATTTTTAGCATTAATGAGGTATTAAAAGTATTAATACTACCCAATGACAAATTAATGACTGTGCGCACAATCGGTCACCCAATGTTGCACGCCTTTTGAAAGCACAAATTCAGTATGGAATCGGACGAATTAATCCCTCTATTATACACTCGATAATAAATATGGATATATTTTCATTCACCCTAGACAAATAAAAAACAAAAATGCCAAATATACAAAATTAAACACTAATTACCGCCAGGATCTGATCTACATACGGCGAAACGGGGTTAGTAATAACAAGCAGAATATTTTGATTTGATCAGGGTAAAATCATTGACTATACTGTATATACCTACTTTATACTACTATACAGAGTGAGTTTCTACTGACCGAGTTAACTTCGCCAGTAGGTTCTACTCACTAAAAGGAACAAAAAAGTTCCTATAAACCCATGTCCGATTTTCAACCGTTTGGCTGTAATAGGGGATTTTGTGTTTTTCTTATTTTATTAGACTTTGCTCCACAATTTATGTAATAAATACCTAACCAATTACTTTAGAGAGTTATAGTTAAAATCATTGGAAAGAATATTAAATTTGCTATAAATCAACAATTATACGATTACATAGTCCACGTTATATCCAAAATAAAGTAAAAATGTCATTAAATTAATTAATTACGATAAATTTCATGAGCCCACTTTGATACATAAACCTTCATCTATGCTATGTTGAAATGCATAAAAAACCTGCCCATTTAATAATCTTTAAAATGATATGCTATTCAATACTATTATATTGATATGAACCAGTGAGAAATTACTAATAAACTACAATAAAACACGGTTTACAGATTTTGTTTTGACACAGTTTTTACTGTTAATAATAATTACTGTATAGCAGGAGAATGGACAGCAACAACTAATATAATTAACAACCCAACAACCAACCACATCGCCGCGCGCATTGTGGGGGGTTTTGTCCTTCAGGGAAGGTCTCTAGTGCGGCCATGTCTCTGGAGTTATGGTCCTCCAGTGAACATCTAGTGAGAGTTATAAGCCAATCATCGGCCTCAGGTAAGAGGCACGACTCTCGGCTTTTCAAATAATAAGTAAAAGATATAACTGCGGATTGCGGAGAAGAAAGCAAATTTGGGTGATCATATACCAGCTTGTACAAAATCACAGCGAGAGCTGGACATTCAACTTAGGAGACACCTAGCGGCAGTTAAACAAACTGTTACGAACGTTAATGTTAGTGACACCTGGTAGATAGCGCCCCAGCGCCAGTTCGAGTCAAGTTCTTTCTTAACTTAGTTTTAATGTGAATAAACATTTACGCTAAAAAATTTTGTTAGAATGTTTAATAGGAGTTCTCTATCTATTTAGATCTGCCAGATGGCCTATTTATTTCAAATATAAGAATATCTTAGAAGTAGTCTTACTCTCATTCAATGTTTGAATATTTGATAAAATAATTATATGCTTAGTCTTTCATGTATACAGGTGGGACAAGTAGCGTACGCAGCCAGTAAGGGAGGTATTGTGGCAATGACTCTGCCCATGGCAAGAGACCTGGCAATTCAAGTCCCTCCCAGTCAGTCAGTACTCAGTTGAGTTGAGTTGAGAGTTGATTAGTTCACTAGATGAGTAGTTGAGTTGAGTTCACCCACCACACAGCACTCACTCACAGTGTTTCCATTTGAGGGATAAAAATCCCTTTCTAGGGATATTTAGGGCCTTCGAGGGATTGAAAAGGGATTGAGGGATAACTAGGGATAATCAGCGAAATTGGAGGATTTTTTAGATTTTCTAGGGATTTCAGGCCTTTGACATTATAAAATTGAAATATTGATAAAATAATACATTATGGCTGTATTTCAACAACGTTAAGGACCTATTTTGGTTAATTTTGCAAGGTAGTATTGATTATACTACTTTTTCCCTAGGTTTTGGTAACAAATCGATTGTAGCATAGATAAAAGATACTCCTCAAGGAGTATGTTTTATCTATGGTTGTAGGTAGTGGTAGTGACGTAGTGTTTCAAAGTCGGAACACACAAGGGGGAGAGTAACAGCCAACACTGCACGAAACAAGCGAAGGACTGGAGTCGGTCGGTGGAATGGAATGGCGGATCTAGATTATACTGTAGGCCTATTTTGTTTCTTAGCCCTGTGCCCTGTGTCAATATCGAATGATTGTTTCGTTTTGATTTTGTTTGCCGGTGATTTCTGCGATGTTTTTTGAGGCATGGTGGCCATGTTTGAAAAAGACTATTAAGTTTGAAATTTGGACACTTGAGTAATATTTTTGAAACAATTGTAAATACTTATACTGTAAATGAAAATTATTAGTTTATAAATTTAAAAAATAACTATTTGTTTCATTTTTTAGTTAATTAATCTTGTTTTGTACCACATAGACAGTTTTTATTCACGGCTACCTTTAATTCCAGGCCGGAGGCCGCGGCCTCTAAGTGGCAACGTTGCAAGTATAGTGTGTTGTAAAAGGTGTTTGTTTGGAGAACGCTAAGCTAATGATAATTATGTATTTTTTTATGAATACGAAAGCTTGGTTACTGAGCTATGAAAATGTCGACTATACATTGAATGTATAGAAATAGATTTTAAATTTATATTGTTTTTGTTTTCGATTTTATATTATGTTTTATTTCTATGTTAACTTATGGGACGTCTGGCGCTAAACAATACTACGGTACTTGCAACGTTGCCAATTCTACCAGGCTGCGGCCTGCCTGGAGTTAAAGATGGCCGTGGTATTAATGGTGCAAAAATGTTTTTTATTTAGTATTACTTTAAAAATAATATGGGATATTGAAGAATAATATTACCAATTACCATATTTTAGGTGGCTATACATGATATCCATTGGTATTGCTGGGTATTGCTGCAAAAATAAGAAGTTATCTAGATTTGATGGAGAGGGATAATTGGAGGGATTATTAGAACACGGACTAGGGATAACTAGGGATTTTTTTACGTTGGCCCAGGGATATTTTTTTCTTGCGGATGGAAACACTGCTCACTCAGCAGAGCAGAGCAGACCTCACCTGTACTCAGCAGGAGTGTTTGTTCTCCAACTTCTTTATAGATGCATATCATAATCTAATGCTTACAAATTATTGATGCATATAAATGAATCATTACAGTATTTATTGAATGTAGATAACCGAAAATTTGTTGGAAATCCGTCATCAATATAAAGGTAAAAAGCATCATACTTAGGCATTATTTACAATAAACAAAAACCTAACCTATACAACTTTACATAAGAATAACAACGATGTAAATAGTCTAATAACTTACATTATGAGAGTACAGTTTCTTAACTGGGCTACGCTAATATTGATTGAAACTATCGAATTGAAAATATTGATTAATAATCGATATTTTAAAATATATCTATTATAAAATTAAACTATCATAACCTAACCTAACCAACCAAACTTGCTGATTGTGAAAAAATTGCATTAAAGGTTTACTACTCGAATTGATAGTTTCAATCAATATTAGTGTAGCCCAGTTAAGAAACTGCACCCCATTAGGATTTAATGATAGGCCGATTGGAAACCATAACAATTATTTAGAATAAGGTACATTTAGCTATTTTCTGGGGTACGGTACAGTTTCTTAACTGGGCTACGCTAATATTGATTGAAACTATCGAATTGAAAATATTGATTATTAATCGATAAGTTATTTTAAAATATATTTACATTACCTATTATAAATTTACCATTTACGGTGTCTTCTCCACAATCCAGGGATCGGGGAATCGTCAAACTTCTTCCTGGGATCAGGGTAAAAATGGATTTGTAGGCCTATTCATGTCTTAGATGCTGGAAAGTGTGCTCTACAATGAATTCGGAGATTGTGTAGTATGGCCTTTAAAGTTGCAATTAAAGTTTAAGTTAAAGTTGTAGAGTTATGCAGTCAAGACTATGAGAGATTTTTTTTTGTTCATGAAAGTGACCATATATATATTGATATGATTCAAGAAGAACTTACTTACATAGTACTTACTTACTTCTTTGAAGTAACTTATGGAGTGGTGAAGCGTGTTACGTAAAGAAAGACTGATAGTATTAGTGCGGTCTGGCTGGAAGATCTTACTGTCTAGTTATTCATGATTAGGAAAATTTATAGGCCTAATTGCAAAGATTTAGTGTAATCTGTTGTAGGACTAGTTTTTGGCAATATATGAAGAAATACACAGTTTTAAATAGCCTAAACTAAAATATACTCAAGTAAAATCATTAATATGTAGGCTTTGGAAACCAGAATCGGAATTCAGAAGTTTTAGTGTCAACCACATTGTTGATCTGACAATGGTTGATGAAAAAAACACTGGTGGAAAGTTGGATAACTTGGGCCGTAGGAATCAACTGAGTAATTTAGACCAGTTTAATATGGAAACTAAATCAGCAGTGCGACCCTTGAAATATAAAATAGGCATACTTTCATCCATAGCCCCTCCTCCTCTAACATAAGGCAGGGGCGTTGGTGTGTGGTAACGTTGCAACGTCATGCCTATTGCCTTGTTAATATCAGAAATAAGTTAATATGAGTGTAAACATTAACATTTTCTATACTGTCCATTATAAATTAGACCAACGGCTGTATCGCTTTGACGGGGCAGTGGTGTTTCCACTTTTTGGCTTGCTGCAGTCTTGTATTAGAGGAGGCTATGTTTCATGTCATATAGATAGAAACCCTCTTTATAATGTATGAGTTTGATCCCTAAAACATAGTAGGCTTTGTTATACACAGGCCCCAGTGTGATTGAAAAGTCCCGGAACGGTGTAATATATTTTTTACCATTTAGTTATAGATAAAGTAACTTAATGAGACTTGGTATAGGCCTAACCATAAATGTCCATAAATGGGTGCTAACCCTAATGTCCTCAGAACCTCAGCTTTAGCGCTCAGTGTGTCGGCTGCGGAGTATGGAATGCATCGTCACATGCAAAAAAGGTTGACATTGCAGTCAATGACATGGCTCGGATTGAACTGGGTATTTGAAACCAACCCCAGTACACAAACTCTATCCTATCATAGGGATCACCCCTCCACCAATCCGACGTGATGTCGCTGCCGACGCAGAAAGGACTAAGCAAGAGACAGACCTTCGTCACCCATTACACGCCCACCAACCTGCAGAGCGACGGCTTCGGTCCAGAAAGAGCTTTTTATCACGGACACGAGTCCTGGATGGATCACTCTCGAAAGCAAATGGGTGGCAAGGTGGGAGGCTACGTTGACCAACCCTCCCATACCAGCCAGGGAGGAACTGGCTCCTGGTGGAGGCCTTCATTACACGGTGTGGAAGACCCTAAATCGAATTAGGGTCGAGGTACCAAAATGCAAGACAAACATGCAGAAATGGGGTCTCTTACCAGACGAAGAAAACATCTTGTGCGCGTGTGGTGCTGTTCAGGATCCTGGCCATCTGCTGATCTGCCCACCCCTAGACCAGTCTTGCACATTAGATGATCTTTTACATGCGAATGACAAAGCCATATCGGTAGCTAATTTTTGGAAAAGCGAAGTCTGATTTCCGGACACGGAAAGTAAGTAACCATAAATGTCTACAATTTAAAGCTGTTTTAACTTTTTTTATCCCTTAAGGGGGGGGGGGCACGAGGAGACAGACAAAATTCTTAAATAGCGGTATAGGTCGAGTTTAAAATCAAATTACAGGTCTTAGTCAGTAGAAAATATTGCTGCAGACCTGAATTCAAACGGACAACAGAGTAAAAAATTAAAGCTGTTCAGAGATTCATTGAATTTACAATGCTATACACTATCTCCTATGGTTAGGTAGCCAGCTAGAAATCTGAAGAATATTATAACTTAAAAGCATAGGTAGATATGCACAACAAAAATAATTAGTAGAATATAGTACTGCAAATTTGAGCTCAATAGAACAACTGAGTAAAAAATGGCTGCCGTTCAAAGATTCAAAATGACAGATTCAAGAAATATTTGAACATCTGCAATTTCTGACTCTATAGTCCCTTTGACTTTGGTTTTGCAGAAATTTGTTATACTAAGACCATTAATTTGATACCAAACTTGACCTATGCTGCTTTTTAAGAATACTGTCTGAAGTCCTAGTAGGCTGTTAAAGGATAAAAAGTGACAATAGCATAAAAGAGTAGATATTTATAGCTATTATTGACATACCAAGTCTCATTACTTTATCTGTACGGTACCGGTAGTGGTAAGAAATACATTACACTGTTCCGGGACTTTTCAATCATACTATATATTGCTAATGTCTTGTAGGGTCCTAAAAAGGTACAGTTGGTGGTGATTATAATACTTTTGGTTGTTCCAGGTGTCAAAATGAGTCACGTTCCTTATGCCGAAGTCCCGATTATACATCAAGGGTTGCGACAAGAGGAAACTGTAATACAAATCACGTTAGCTCTAGATTACTTGGAGAAGGTATCATGTGGAATTTTCCAACATATCAAATCATCAGTAGAAAAACAGAAAGTTCAACTTTCCAAACTTCAAGACCGAAGCAAATTAATTAACAAAAAAATGGATAAATTAGCTGGCACAAATAAGGCTACCAAGGTATGAGGTACATAATTGTATAGGCCTATACGGATATGTATGAAGCAGTCAAATCCTGTTCACATTCATCCAAAATTTGTACCATCCAAAAACGTTTTTTTGTAAAATCCACACCATCACCTTTAAAAATGGTGCAAGCCTAACAGAGGGTAATAAATATTCACACCCTTTATATTATTTTAAATGTGATATTTTTTTAGTGTAACTTAATACAGTTGTTAAAATTTGTATGGTCTATTTAATTATATTTTAAATGGCATATGCAATATTCCCACTAATAAATTATTGTTGTTTTGACACTTTACACTTGTTTTAAACTCCTGTTTCTCATCATAATTAGCCTACAATTAACAGTTCAATAAATTACATTTTGTAGTTGGCCTGGATAAAAAGATTTAGGCCTATGTCATTATGTAATGTTTTCATTAGGCTTATCTAGAATTTTAGTTTTCCAACAAGTTATATACAAAAATATAGCAAAAACAAAACAAAAAAATATAAAAACCCACCACTAAACTAGTAATTAGTTAACAACTTCGTAGGGCCCCTCATGGGCTAGACCTTCTTCACTGAAATTTCACTTGTCCGCCTTCTCTTCAAGAATGTACAATGTGGCCCCTGAAGAACATAGATTGAAGACCTCTGGCCTCTTGCCTACTAATTTACTGTACACTCCGGCTGCATAATATAACACAGATCAGTTTTGAAGTTGTTTAAAAATGTACCTATTGAAACTACTGTAACACATTTAAGCTGTTTTAATTACAGTGTGGTTCAAATTACAACTTTTGCACAGGCTATGTATAGGTCTAATTAGCTTTAAAATCCGTAGCTATTTTTGATGAAGGACAGAAGGGCAAATAATTGTCTAGACAAGGAATAGCCTCTAATCCTTTTAAATAGCATAGAAAAATCAGCTGTTTTTAGGTTAATATTTCTTGATAATTACAATGTAATTTGGTTGAATTAAGGAAGGAGAGTGTCCCTCTCCCCAATTGTTGGACTGTGTATACATTCCAATTTTTTTATATATCACAGACTCAATTATTCAAATGTCTGTGTTATAACCCTCTCTGTGGACGATCGAGTACTGTGTATTACGATAATCTGTATACTATAGTGGCTATGTTGAGACAATACCTTTTGCTGCGCCTGACTGTTCATGGAAAATACCTCAGGTTTTATCTCCTGAATTTTGCTGTACGGTCATACAGTTTCAAACTGCATGTAACACACAGTTTGTCAACTTATCTGCTATCCTTCAAATCTTAGTCATGGTGCGAAAGTAGACCTGTAGTAGCTGAGCGGATGAGTATAGCCTTATCTCACACTTTACAGTAAATGTAGTCATGTTTTTACCTTATTGTTTTTTTTCATATTAAATGTGATGATGCCTTGGAAGCAAGAGAAGTTTGTGGATTTATACAAGAGAAACTTAAAGCATTGAATAGGTTCTATAATTGAGAAACTTTAATAATAATTTTTAACATGTTGTCGATGGTTTGTTTTTATTTCCCCTGTTATGCCATTCGGTGTGTTACTTGTCTACGGCCAGTTAAGGTTGGATAATAAAGATTCAATGCAATACAATTTTATAAAATAAAAATGAAAAAAATTATAAGTGATCTAGAGGATTGTATGCGTCTGTTTTCAACATAATGTGACTTCTGGTATGAAGTAAGCTTTGAAGCTTAATATATTCATAGATAAAGTATTGTCATCAAAGTGTAGTTTGTTATCAATGTAAATCTATCTGCAGGTTTTTGCCAGTGCAAAGTATCCTGGTAGTGATATACCTCGAGACTATACTCTAGACATTCTTTCAACGCCGTTACCAAAGCTTGATCGGACCAGTGTGCAAATATCATCCAAACATCCTCCGTTTGACCCAGACTCTATTAAAGTAAGTACAGTATAATATATAGTTATGAAATGATGGCTGGATTTTAATTTGTTAGCTTTGATGTTCAGAGTACTAATTGCAACAATTTGCCAGAACACTCTAACAAAATATGTGCAAATGTCTTTGAATCCCTTGAAACTTATGATAAAGTATCATAACTAAATATAAGTAGTAATGTATACTAAAATATGTATACAGTATTTGATTTAAAGGGTACCTATTTCTTAAGACACATTTTTATTCAGATCACCTAATTGGCTCATAAATAACTGATTTATTAATTTCTCCAAAAAACATAGCCTTTTACAAGTCTTGTGAATTTACCGAACAAACTTCATGTAAAAGGAAATTTTAACACTGGTTTGTCTATAGGACAAATGCCAACATTTCCACATTAAAACAAGCACAAAGCAGATAAAGAAGAATATTGAAGTGACTCCAGAAGAAGGCCTTGGCAGTTTACCGGCTGATTTAGACTCCGTCAGTGCTCTTCTCCTTTTTAATACTTCAGAAAACTTGTAAGTCTATGTGCTTTTGTTGCAATTAGTTATCATTATTTCCCCCCCTTTAAGTCTGTATCTTTCTATAATCAATTAGATTGCCACTTGATTTTAAGGCATCTCATTGTTAGTACCATCCTACTATTATGATGCAAGTGATTTGACAGAGTGATAGGATTATGTTTTGTTACGATTGATTAGAAAATTCAAAGTAAGACTGGTTTGAGACCGTTATCTAAACCTAGAAATTCTTGATTATCCTATATAAAACGGCCGTAGTGAGGATTGATTGTTCTTATAAAACGAGAATAATAAATAGACCTGTTGCAGCAAACCTACTGACTTCGCGAATTTCCAATTGCCTGTATTGGATTTCTTGAAATACTTCCTTGAATATGTTAGATTGTTTCCCCATTTAAACTACACGGAAGATTGAATAGGTAATCAAGACTCTACTTCTTGATTCTTTTAGTCTACCCAGTCACACAACCAGTGCTTAAATAAAAAAAAATTAAGAATAGGGTAGTACCTAAACTCAGCCCAAGGTGCAAAACACCATATAACCACAGAACAGTACAGTAGTCAAATACAAACACCGTAAAAATCAAAAGATTAAAGACCTAAAATAAAACAATATGATAGTAACACTCTCACAGGGGTACACATAGGCTATATACAGCATCAGTATGATAGTATGCAAGTAACAAAAATTGGTAGAACACAATCCAATGCGTCTGCACAAAAAGGTTTGTTTTTACTAACCGTGATGAAAAATGTCCGCAAAAAACTATTAGATAAGGAAAACTCAACATAACTAAAACTTAACTTAATACAAATAATATTTCTTAAGTTTGGATTTTTCAAGGATTAATCTATTTGCCTGTGGTTTTCAGGTACAAGAAGTATGTCATGCTTGACCCTCTCGGTGTAGTTACCAAGACGAGGCAAGTATTGGAGGATGAAATCAAAGGTGACTTGGATGCAGCTCCTCGCTCTATGTGTCAGGAGGTGGTTGAGTTTAAAATTGGGGAGAACTACTTCTACTCCCCCACCTTACAAGAGGTGCCCCAACTGGATGTTCCTCTGGACTTGCCCGACCTTCCAGGTAACATGACTGATAATTCAGAGGTCTGCGGGACAGAAAATTTAAGGTTGATGTTGATACGGTACATTGTTTTGTACCTCGGTTCTTGGTACAAAATCAGTACGGTACACGTTTACCAGTATTTTGGTGTTTTCTACTCAAGATTGATCGATAGTGTCTAACATTCATGGTTTTCTATCAACAACTATTACACAGTATTAAAACCTTAATTACTCCTATCAGGATTGTATCAAGAAAAAGAAAACAGTTAAAATAAAGGCTTTAGGGCTACCTATTTTATTACTACTAAGATAAGCGATAGCTAACACAAAATGGTTATATAAGTAGGTTTTTAATGTTTAGGAACTAATCATTTCATTTCATTTCATTTCAATATCTTTATTCAACAATTGTACATTGTACATTGAATAGTGTCAGATTCCTAACCTAGTAAATAAAGTTATAAGCTAAAATTACAATTTATATAATACTAAGAAACTAAAAATAAAATCAGGTTAATTGGGGAAACACCTCTTTAATGGAGTAGGGAGCGATTTCTATGAGATAATTTTTTAATTTGTTTTTAAATTTGATTGAGTTGCCAATGGGTTTTAAATGATTTGGAAGAAACCGTAAAAATCTTCTTCCGGCACAGGTGGGCTTTTTATTTGAAAATAAAAGATGGTTGCGACTATTTTCTCTTAGGGCTTTTCCTCTTGTATTGTAGCATAATTGTGTGTTATCTGATATACTTTCTTTCGCTATGAGAGCAGTTTCAAAAATGTATTGGGCAAACACAGTTAATATTTTAAAATTTTTGAAATGAATTTTAACACATTCATCATTTTTTAGTCCCATCATTGTTCTTAATGCCCTTTGCTGTAATTTTAAGATTCGATTAAGATTTTTCTTAGTTGTAGCTCCATATAAAGATATACCGTATGAAATGTGGCTATGGACAAGAGAATGATATATTGTTTTTAAAGTATTGATATTACATAGATATGACATCTTTTTCAAAGCAAATATCCCTGAATTTATCTTTGAGCAAACATGATTGACGTGGTCCTGCCAGGATAGATGTTTATCAACTTTTAAACCTAAAAAATCTATTTTTTCAACTTGTTTGATTTCATCGGAATCCAAAATAATCAACGGTTCTATTTTGTTTTTACATTGCTTAGTTGAAAATGATATAAAATTAGTTTTACTTTTGTTTATTTTGAGATTGTTGGATAGTAAGTAATTTTTAATATTTGCAAGTTCTATAAAGGTATCTATTTCGATATGTTCTACTGTTTTTCCTGTAATTTTTAAGTTAATGTCATCAGCATATAAACACATATTTCCACAAGGTACACACGACAGAACATTTGGAATCTTATCAATGTAGCAAAGGAATAAAACAGGGCCTAGTATTGAACCCTGAGGGACACCAAAGTGATTAAGTTTTATTTCTGATCTGTTTTTTACCAGCCAATTATTTTTATTAGACATGATTTCAACGTATTGCTTTCTTTCCGATAAATATGATTTGAACCACGCCAAAATGTGACCTCTTACTCCCATATCTTCTAGTTTGAGTATTAGAGTTTGGTGACATACCCTATCAAAAGCCTTCGTAAGGTCCATTGATATTCCTATAACATTTTCGTGGCTATCAATTGAATTTATTATACTCTCAAAAAAACTTGAAGCAGCTGTAATTGTTGATCTGCCTGAGCGAAAACCATGTTGGCCACTAAATAGAAGGTTGTTATTTTCTATAAAAGACACTAGCCTAATTTTCATTGCCTTTTCAAATAATTTTGAAATAACTGGCAAAAGTGATATTGGTCGATAGTTTTCTACGCACTGAGGGTCCCCCTTTTTGAAAATAGGCACAACCTTAGCAACTTTTAATAATTTTGAAAAATGACCGGATATAAAAGATGAATTAATTAAATGAGTAAAAATTGGAACTAGTTCTTGTTTTGTATATTTTATTACTTTAACGGGAATTTCGTCGTGCCCACGTGAAGGTTTGTTACTTAAAGAGTTTATCAGTTTTTCTACTTCCTCACATGAAACAGGTTCACATCGAAATAATGTTTTAGATTTTACACAATTTGTTAGTACTGGCTGGTGATTATCTAACAACTTATTACAGTTTACAGAACCATTCTTTCCAGATAAACTAACAAAGTAGTCATTTAGTACATTAGATATTGCCCTGGGATCTGCAATAGTTGTTCCTTTGTACGCAATGGTCATGTCATTCACTAAGTTATTTTCTTTGTTACCTACTTCTTTATTTATAATTTTCCAGGTTGTTTTCATAACATTATCCGAGTTATTTATTTTTTTATCGTAGTGTAATCTTTTAGTTTTGTTTGCCGATTTTTTAAAAGTCTTCATTTTTGTTTTACTGAGGTTAGACAAGTTTTCGTCTTTTAATAATCTAGCTAATTTTGATGATTCCACGATTTCATTGAATTCCTCCTTTAATGAATAAGTATACCACTCTTTACTGTTAGTTTGTTTCTTTATTACTTGTTTTTGAAATGCTGTGATAAAATGTGATTTGAAAATTTTATAAAATGTTTCGTATTTTTGTTCACAGTTTGATTTCCATGTCAATTAAGGAAGAATAATTTTGACAAGATAATTTAACGCAACTGGGTGTTTAATTTAAACTTTTAAAAACATATCAATGGCGCAATATCTTCGAGTAAAAAGACAGTCTATGTTTCAGCTGATCATGCACGAACAAATTACCAATGAAAGTCTGGAAGCAATAGTGAAGTAAAGACAGAGAGGAAAAATACCAGACCTCAAAACTTTAATGTATAATATCAATTTCAACAATACTATTCTGGTTACAAAAGTTGGTTATAAAAGATTTGTATTAGAAAAAAATGTCTTATAAACTTAACATTTATACTTAAATGCTTGTTTAAGCTATATTTGATTGCGACTGTGCTAGAACTACTAAGGACATAGCTATATTTTAAGTATGGAAGTACATTCAGCACTTTCTAACTCGTAATTAGATGAAATGAAATCTATCTTAAACAATTTTTATTTCCTTAGAAGAATAACCTCTTGATTTTAAAAAGCGTTATATTTTACCTTTGTTTGTTAAAGTGACACAACATTACCTCTATAACTCAAAGTTCAATAGATAAGTAGAATTAAATCTGCGCTTTACCTCTACAAGTGGAAGTTTACCTCTAGACTCATGTTTTCTGAATAAAACCTCCTGTATCACAGCAATGATCTTTTGGTATTTTAGTTGAATAGATCATTATAATAAGCAATAAAATGGTTTTCTTTCTATCTCCTTTAATAACTAATTATTGAATTTGACCTAACAGATTTACAGCAACCTCTTAAAATCTAAATGCAAAAAATTATTTCTCTTTGGCAAATGATTGAATATTTACAGGAATTGCTGGAGATCTGCAGTTCTCTATGGAATCAGAGCCCCATATCGCCCCATCGAGCTCCACACCCATACCAGAACTTCCCTCAGTGTTTGTTGATACATCGTCAGATACCATATTACCTACACCTCCTCTACCCCCTCAAGTTTCCTTGATATCTGAGGAGGTGAGACCACCGCCTGTAGTTGCTCCACCCCCACCTCCACCTCCACCCCCTCCTCCACCACCTCAGATACCTCCTCCACCTCCAGCTCCTACACAGGATCAAGATATGCAGACTGTTACTCCAACCACTCCAGCGGTAAGTCTTTCAGATGTATTTTAAGATTCACTCTAAAACGGTGTTTTCCAATCTTTTTTCCTCTTGCACCACTTCAAAAGACAAAAATATTTTGCTACCATTTAGCAAGCAGAAGTAATTGTGGAAGTTTAATTTGCTAACCTAGCATACCATTTAGCGTACTAACCGACGACCACTTATAACTCTTTGTTTGTGCGCTATGGGATCATTCTTTCTTGGGGTTCCTTTTTGCATAGCAATCTGAAGCGTGTGCTCATCATCCAAAAGATAGAAGTTCGGATGCTTGCCGTTCTTGATTGGAGAGACAGCTGCATAGGGGCATTCAAAGTTGGATATTTAACAGCTGTAAACCTTTACTTGCTAGTTGCTAGAGGTCATCTGCTTTGCTGCGTCAGCTAACTTGCGATGGATGGAGATGTCCACACCCACAACACAATGCCTTAGACTTTAACCTACCAACTCACCATACTACAAGGTTTTAACTAGTGATGTGTCGATACCAAAATGAAATCTGTCAAAGATCTGATTTTTATATCGATTCTCGATACCGATTTGGAAACCTGAAAAATCTATTCTTAATACCGATACCATTTTTTAAAAATTGTTTTACCAAATTTTCTGAATGGATTGGTTCCTTCTACACCAACCCCTGTCTTTATGTCCTTCCATTAAGTATTTTTGAGGTAATAGGGTGTTTTTCAAGTACAGAAAAATGTATGCAGCAATGATACATTCCAACTAGCCAATTAAATTTTAAACTCTCCCAAACAAAATTAAAACAAACTACCATATTAAAGATAAATGAAGATCTAAAGTACTACAAAAATCAAAATGAAAATGATATTTTAGAGGTGTTCTAGCCTGACATTTTATTACCATTGACTCTCATGGTCTCGAAAACATCATCGTCATCATCCACGATCATCTCAAAATCATAAACATCTTTGGTGGCAGTGTAGACATCATCGTCATTTTCCGCAATCTCGGCAGAATCATGAACATCTCCCGCTGCCATGTAGACATCATTTTGGTCTCCCACGGTCGTGAAGACATCATTATGGTCGGTCACGGGAATTGGCTTTTGATCAATCCTCGATACCAATTCCAACGCCATCCCCACCAAACATTTGGCAGTGGAGAGGAAGGGAGTTTATCAGCTACAAGGAGAGAACAAGGCAAGAGCAGAGGAGCACACTTACACCTACCGGCTCTTTCAGGAGAGCTGTTAACAGGAGACACGAGGACACTGGACCAGGAGACTAATTCAGCAAGTCCAACCACGGGTCAATCGGTGATACAGAGAGATGGATTATTATATCACCCAGTTTCTGACAGGTTACGGCTGTTTCTAGTTGTACCTGTTCAGGATAGGCTGTGTCATCCAATGGCATTTATGGTCCGGGCACTCCTGATTAAGTGGAACATATTTTTTTCTGCTCCTCTTGTTGGAAAAGTCTCGCCTGAAGGCTCTACACCATAGGGCTGCTGTCGGTGGACACGAGCAGGGTAGACGGGGGTAAGGCACTTGGACCTTGGACCTGTGTGTCATAGTACGGCCAGGGTATTCTCCGCACCAGGGCCGATTTACCGAATAGGTACGGTAGGCACGTGCCTAGGGCGTGAGGCAATTGGGTATTTTGGGGGAGTCAATAATTGGAATATAAAAAAAATAATTTGGTGATTCTATTTGCATGCGATCGCGGTAAACCTCTAACAATCCATCGCGGCCGTGTTGACATCATTATCGTCTTCCGTGATCGCGGGATATCGTCACGTAATATGGAAATTATCGTCATGTAAACGTCACTGTTGTCATGCACAATCGTGGTAAATTGACAATTCCAGGTAGAAATACAACAATCACACATAATTCCCGGTTCAAAAAGATCCACTCGTAATTCCCAGATTACCTGATCGGTGGCATATATAATGCAAAGATGCGCTATTATTAGTTTTGCCTAGGTCGCTGACATCGTCAAAAACGGGCCTGCTCCGCACCATGAAGAGACCTTGACCGGGTTGCAGTCTAGGTAATAACTGGCTTGGTAGCTTAGTGGTTATAGTTATAGTGCTCTCCTAATAATCAAAAGGTCGCCGGTTCGATCCTGAGAAAAGTCAGTAGCTTTTTGATGGTTCGAAACTAGACCCAGCTGTTCCTGATCATTGTTTGTTGCTTTAAATAAATGATCCTGGCTAATGAAATAGCTGATCTTAGTCATTAACAAAGCTACACAGATCATCTCACACCATTCTACACTCATCCTTCACTCATATTTGGGTTAAAATACGCACCTAGGTGGCGTCCCTATCTCAATGATTGATAATAATTGATAATAATAAAAGAGCATACTGGCAGAAACTGTGTGAGTCCTGAAGGCTTAGGCTTAGTTGATTTGACCTTAAGAAATGTGAAAAAATCTCAGGAGTAGAACAGAGTAGAAGGGATTTTTATAACTAGTGGGATCAATTCAGGAGCCTCGTACCACAGGCTGGCCACCTGTTTGCATAAAAATTCATCCTCTCCCTTAAAAAATAAGAAAAAGTTCTAAAATAAATTAAATGTTTGTAAATTAAAATGAATGAAACAGTCATTATATTAAACAAATGACCCTTATCAGTACATAATCAGTAGTACTTGTATTGTTGCACTAATTCATACAGAACCTCTTTTGAATCCTTTGAAGTGGTGTGTTTGTTTTCAGTAGAAACTTTTTTTACTTGATAACATATCCTGGGAAACATGTTCAAGGTGGCTCCAGTAAGGACTGATAATGCACACGCTAACTTGATGGAGGCCATCCGCAACGCAGGAGGCAAAGATAGAGCTAGACTACGCTCAGTTACGGACCGTAAACAGGAAGCTAAGAGAAAACAGGTAAAGTTGGAAAACCTAGGACAAAGACTCTCATGCATACATTTTTTGTGGATAAAATGGGGACAGTATTATTAAATAAAATTAAGTAAAATCAAATAATATTTTTTTCTGTATAGGCCTACTGTATATTTTTATATACAAATATGAATACAAATGTGAATAGGGTGAAGGAGTACAATACATTATAATGATCATACAACTAAGAACAAGAACTAATATTTACTCTGGATTGCTTTCCTTTTTAAATAATCATCTATGGCCTATGATATAAAGAGATAGGTTGATTAAAACAAAATTTATTTAGGAATGTAGTTTAAGGTTTCTTTATTTTGAGTAATATGGGAAGGTTTCTTATGAAAAACAAGCAGGGATAACATCTAATAAAGTAGTTATGTTCCACTCCATTATCATGGAAACCAGTTTAAAGATTACCTGGGATCTTCATAGGATTTTTATCCTTAATCATACTAATGTATAGGGGTGTGCGGAGCAGCAAAAATTTTCAATTCGAAGCAACTATGCGTTTCAAAATATTTTTGATTTGAATCGATGCAACTCAATTCGAAGAAATATGGCATTTTTCTATTCATACTTGTCAATGGAGTGAAAGAACAATAGCCTAATTAAAATTTACCACATTTGTGTAGTACATAAATGTGAATTTTAGGTGAACAAATATTGATTTGCATCACTCTGTATTCGAATATAGCCCATTTCCATACAGCTGAGGTCTTCGAAAATCGTCAATTTCCATACACCAAAAACAAATAGTGATCAGCTGACTTTTCTTGGCATAACCATTAATTTCGCTACACAAACAATACTTTGCCTGACATCAACAAAGTTACAACTGAAGAAAAATGAATAGATATCAGATAATTTTTTTGATGAAGTAGCTTTTACATCGTGATAAAAAGTATCGTTCAATACTCGTCACGAAAGTCCCATTTCGGGGCTCGAAAGTGTTTCCCATCCTCGTCTTCGACTTGGATGTAAAACACTGTCTCGCCCCAAAATGAGTCACTTTCGTGGCTAGCGGTGAAATATACTATTTCAATCATATATGCTGGAAATGTCAGTGAGCTGCTTTACTTGCCTGTTTCATAATTTGTTCTTGCAGAATCATATTGTTAAGCATGTTACCTATTGATTTTACAAATAAAGATACGTTTTGGTGTAAGTAAACAAATAAAACATTTACACTGAAACTTTCATTGGTTTACATTGATAAAATGAGAATAGCATCAGACCTACAAACTATAAGGTATACATAGCACACCTAAAAAAATACCAAATTTTTCAGTCTTTAACATCAATCTTACTAGTTAAGTGTCAAGTAACAATTTTTCAGACTTGTGTTATTTTTAGAATGATTTTGGAGTGACTTGTTTTGGCTATGTTTACGGTAGTAAAACATATCTCACACTGCTTACACTTAAAAAAATTCTCATCATTTGCAATGTCAAAACAAAAAAATATAAAACAGTTAAAGCAATATTTACGAGCAAAGAACAACTACACGCTCCTGTATTGCGCGTATTGCATTGACTTACTGCAGGCGTTTTTCGTATATGGATACTGACTCCCTCATGAATCAATAGTTTTTTTTTTATCACCACTGAATCGAATCACGATTCGATGTATCAGATCGAATCAAATCAGAATTTTGATGCATCGCACACGCCTACTAACGTAAAAGCCTTTTCCCTTTACTTTCATGGTTTATTTTCGGTGGCCTATACATTTGTTTTTGTATTAAGTCTTGATTTCACATTACTTACTAGCTCATTGAACTGCCCATCAGTAACAGCTTTTCCAGTTGCATTCAAAATGGTTCTCAAAACTCAAAAGTAATGCTATCACATGCAATTTTATTGCTTTAATAGCAGCTTGTTGTTTACATTTTTCCATTACATCAGAATTTGTCTTTAGACGTTAAACAAGTGTCAGGTTCAAATATGTTTCTCCTTTGTTTGAAGTTCATTGTTGGTGATGGTGAGTTAATGTTGTTCAAAGATTTACTGCGAACATTTTCCATCACAATGTGTATTTCCCTTTTTTCCATTGTGATGAAAATTGTCCACAATAAACCTTTGAACAAAATGTTTCTCCTACTAAGTCATCCTCTTCAAAATCTCCCTTTAACTCAAATATTTTACTAAGCCTTAAAATTAGCAGAAAATTCTTACAAACTTGCCAAATAAGGAAGGCAGAATGTTAGAGTACTGTACATGAGAGTAACTCTGAGAATGTGGCCACAGGGGATGGAGGCAGTTACAACAATAAACATTGCTGCATTACAATTCTCTTAGTTTTTGTCACAAGCTGTTATTAACTTATTTAAACCTTACCACATAGAATTAGAACTTCTTTACTACAACACTACCATAAAACACTTTTAGAATATATTTATTACTGATCAATATAAAACTTTGCACACAGAATTATGCAAGATTATTTTTACAAAATTACTTTTCAAATTTGTTTGCACTGAGTATGTAAAACATATCAGAGAAATTAATCAAAGTTGAACAACCGTTTTTAGGAAGAGGAGAGCATAACAAAGTCAACGGGAGGCAACCTGATGGCAGACTTGCATGCGAAATTGTCTCTTAGAAGGAAGGTATGTTGTGTACAATGTTGCAGCTTGAGAATTTACTTTCATTTAAAATAATTGGCAGTTATGTTCATTAAGTGATTACAAAATTGTGACTGTAATCCAGCCTAAAAATATTGAATTCATGTTAGTGATGTAAAATACCCAGGTATTTAAAACTCGGGGTAAATACCCTGGGTATTTACCCGGGTAAATACCCAAAATCCATAAATACCCGGGTATTTTGGGTATTTATAAAATCAATTGAAATTCATTTATATTTACCCCTAAATATGTTATTGTTATTACATGATAAATTAGGATAGTCAATAACACCTTTTACAGTAACTTGAAGCTTTGCTCGCTTAATGATTTAGCACTTTTTTTTAATAATACATAAAGTTATAATAAGCATGGGGTTTTGTGTCTTAAATCGAGTAACATCAGTTAAATTTAACTCACTAAAAAATAGTATATATATTAAAAAAGGCTGTGGCTATTTCATTTTTTATAATTTCATAAATTTATAACCAATTAAATAACATAGCCTAAACAAAATTATTTTAATTTATAAATATCCAGGAATTGTTGGGTACTTATGATGCAAAATTTGTATTGTATAAATGGTTTGGAAGGCTAGACAGACCTAAGGCCTATTTGACATCTAGGCAGAATGATAGAATACTTTTAAGTAGGCTTAATTAAACTTGTCTGTGTTACCGCTTGGTTGGAAACAATAATATATTTGGATAAACCTACTAAAAAAACGTATCTCCTGTTTTTTGGGTGAACCTAATATAATTTTTAAAGATTTATTGTGCTATAGATTCCAATGTTTTGTATCACAAGTTTATGAAATTAGTTTTCTTTTTTTTTTGATACCATTGATACCAACAAAAGATTTAGAACAAAAATATTAAATCCTGCCAGCCTACAGATTGAATTTTTTTTTCTTAAGTTGTTTACACATAGGTTACTTCTAGGTTAAATTTTCCTGTCTTTCTAAATAATAATTATTAGGTACTTTGCAAATTATTTTTTTTCACTTTCAATCAAATAAATTCATCTATCATAGAAATTAAAAAATCATAAGTAGTCAGGACCATTGCAACAACCATGCGACCAGGGTATTTATGCCGATTATAACCAGAAGTAAAATGCCAGTAGTGACCATATGAAATTTTGTTTAACGCATTTTATCATCATTTTACTATCCTTGCAAGGTAATAATTGCAAAAAAACATCTAAATCTTCTCTAACTTTAATAAAAATTATAAATACCCAGTTTTTGGGTATTTACCCGGGCCTGGGGTAAATACCCGGGTAAAAACCCAATTTATATTTACCTACCCACTGGGTATTTACCCGGCCCACATCACTAATTCATGTTGATGGCCCCAGACTACTACATGATGACTGATATGGTAGTACAACTTGTTGTAGAAATCAGTTGATCTACATGTTTCGCCGTTAATGCGACATGCAGTAGTGAAACTTAAACACGTGACGCAGACACACCCGGTGCAGGTAGTAGACTGTAGTGTCAGACTCCTTCCTCATTGTTGTCCACATAATCAGTAGGACAAACTAATAATGTCAGGTGGCGGATTACTTTGGCTTATCCACACATTGAAAATAGAGTGTAGCTGGAACTAGAATTTGTGTTGAGGATATCTTCACTGGCTGTGTTGTTGTAGTACATTTGTAAATTTCTAACTCCTCTAATTTGTTTAATTTACTACCTTAACTGCATACATGTAGCACCTATACACCGTCAGCAATCTGACTCATATTATAGTTTAGGTAAATTAAGTGCTGGTCAAATGTTTGTTTGCTTGTCAAATGTCAATTTTGTTTGATTAGTCGTGGTTTGGGTCTATGTTCGTTGTAATGAAAATAGTGTAAATTGAAAATAGAGTTTTGACTATAGTACATTATGTGAGTTACTCATTCAACTTCATATCGAATTTGAACTGAAAATTGCTACAGCTGGCACAACAAAACAAATGCACACAACTTTTAGTGATAAAATTGTATCAAAACCTCTATATTGAAAACTAAATAACCTATTTACTGTCACAGGGAATCTCTGGATCCCAGACAGGAAGTGATCCTCTGGAGAAGTTTATAGCCATGATCCCCCCTCCTCCTATCAAAGAAGGACCATCCGACACTGATGAGCCAGATGATGTAGATGCTGACTGGGAAGAGGATTAATCCGGAAATCGTACCTTATAAATTTATTGTGCTTGATACTTTTCTACAAACCCCCCCCCCCCAAAAAAAAAAAAAAAAAAAATGTTTAAAGGGAAATTGCAAAAGTTTGTTTTAAGGGGCAACAATAGAAAAAAACAATTCTAAACTTAGTACTATGAATTTTTACCCGTTATCATGCACAGATCGTGTAGATCAATACTGTACATCCTTATCAGATCAAAACAGATGTACATTTTGTACATATATAATAATAATCCTCAAATAAACCAGGCTACCAAATGCTTTTGCACTATAAATACGAAATCAACATCCTGCAAAATTTTTAAATAGTATTTTAAAGCATTTCCCCCCTTTATTGTGTATATAAAATATTACAATATGTTTATAGTAGTATAGCAAGTTGGTGTAGATGGCTTCTTGCTACATTCCAATTTCAATAACTGAAATTTGGAACTGGAAATAAACTGTCTGTGATTCTCATATATTCCAAAAATTCCTTTTCCTTATAATGCTGGGAAAATGACTGTTTTAAAAACATTTTTTATGGTCATTATTGTTTCACTTGTTATAAACTTTACTTTTTATTGTTTTGGTGGAGTAATACATCTTGCTTCTAAATATCGGTCATAAAATATAGTATATTCTTACAATATTAATTTTATGATTTATAATAAATCCGAGTTTCAATTGTTTGCAGTATGTAACAATATTGTTGCTGTGCATGTTGTGATCTTCTTACTTTGTCAACCGATTGTCTTTTACATTAATTTTTCATAAATAGAGCAAACTAATAACACTCTAAATTATTTATGTACTTGTTATGTTTATGTTTGTTGAATAGAAAATGTAGATAAATAAGTTTATACATAATGTTTTGTAATGTGCCTTAATAAACTAAAAGTCATTGTATATTTTCAAAGATTGTGAATAAAACTGTAACATTTGTTTGATTTTGCCTTTCATTGAAATTCTTGGGACAAACAATTTTACTTTTAACACTTCTAACAATTCTTCTTGTGGATTAAAACTTTTAGCATTTTATCGTAGTGATGATTGTTATGTTTTGTTAGCAAATATAAAAAGTAATAATGTATTGATATAGTCTACATTTATTTTATTTAAAACACGTCTCATAACGAAACAGTGTTAACAGCTTACTTGGTTTGTAAATCTAACAAAACATAATGGCACATCAATTTAAATAATGAATTGTGGTTTTTACTAGAATTTCATTCACATCTGTTTCTGGAATTTTAATCGACCATGGTAAATTACAGTGCAATCATCTTGAAACAAGTTGTCATTAACCTAAATCCAATTGAACCATATTTTTTTTATAAAAGATAGTATGTGTGCCTAATCAGTAATCATAGTTATTATTAACCTCAAACTTGAGTGGCTTGTTATCTTATCATAAGAGTTTCACTAAATGTGTATGTCTTCAGAAATGGCCTTTTTCTGGTTTGTTATTTTTTTGTTGTGTTTTGTTACTTTTGTCAGGGAAGTCTTATCAATGAATTCAAAGCAAAGAGTTTTACAAGTGTATAGTGTGCCAGGAAAGTGGTATACTTTGAAATACGTTTTTGTAGTGGTCCTGTTAGCTGTAAGAAAGGTGAATATTTAAGTTAATAAATAAATACTTTTAATTAACCAATTACAACTGCACAAATTTACTCATGTTTTGTACGAAACACAGTATTCTGTCGAGCTCTTTCAAACTACTAGAAACCTTTAAAATCCATGATTTTAGCCCCTGAGCTGTAACGTAACTAAAAAGTAGGTTCCTTCGACAAGAGCTCATACGTTGTAACTATTGGTTACGGCCGTATCGTCATCAGACATAAATCTCAGCTGAAGCAGCGTTGTCGTAGTTAGAACACATAACACACACGTAATTTTTAATTGTTTTGTAAATATTTGTGTGTCTTAAATGTGTTATAACTTCGATGACGCTGCTTCAGCACAGATTTATGTCTGATGATGGTATTTTGATGCCAAAACGGCCCTAACCAATAGTTACAACATTTAAGCTGCTTCAAGGATTTAAAGCCTACTTTTGAGTACCTACTAGAAACTTCTCACACCAGGCAGGTTCTAACCTCTGCTGCCCACTTCTAGTCTAACATTAGCCATGTTAAACCATTCCTAAAAACTAGCTCTCTCATTTTTGACCTTGATTTTAGTTTTTATTTAAAATATTGATGAACCTGTATTCACAAGGAAACTTTTACCTTCGACGTCAGGTTTGGGTCTGATTGCAGCAAACTATTTAGAAACAATAATTGAACCTTTTTACACCTTTCCTACTATCAACTTCTCACATGGTATAGAATAGAATTTGATTTCTTATACAATATTTTGCAGACTCAAACTACTTGAAAGCGGAAATTGCTTGTGAACTAGAGAGGAGACTTTTTAAGGGCCAATCAGCATTTCCATTGAATTTACCTTGTACTTGCATAAATAAAAACCTACTTTCATTAAAATAAAAACCCTGGATTATTTTAGGCAGGTTGGTTTAGGTATTAGATAAAGAGAACCTCAAATTATTCTAATGAAACAAACATTTTATATTATAGTTTTTAGCAAAGTACTCACAAAAAAGAGTCTTATCGCCAGGGTATGGCATCCAGTCTTGCAGCAACCTTGAGGAAATGGATAAAAGGATACCACTTTCATCTGATCCTAAGGTAATCAAATATCTATCACAGTACAGTAGAACTCCGATTATCCGAATCAATAGGCCAGACCCCATTCGGATAATCAAATATTCGGATAATCAGAGTTTTACCGGAATTCCGGGAATTTTAAAGATAAATCCTAATTTTCGGTACTAAGTGAACTTTTAATTAATAATAAATTAAATCAGAACATTTTTACAGTTTACAATGCTCTTAGTACAAGTGTTCTATACATGTTATTAAGTTAATAGTTTAGCCAGTGTGTAATTTTGGTGTTCCATCAAAGTCCAAAATTACACACTGGCTAAATGTGTTTAATAACAATTCTTTGATATTTTGCAAAACTTATTACTGTAGCTTTACGTTTTTAAAATTGTTGAAGTAAGCGATTCGGATAATCGGAGATTCGGTTAATTGGAGTTCGGATAATTGGAGTTCTACTGTATATTAAGTTGAGGTTGGTGCAAACTGTTAGTTTTAAGTTGTTTTTTCGGTATTTTCTAAGTGATACTAAATAGTGTAATGGTTTCTGTATTTATGCATTTTATTAAAACGTCAATTTATTTATTAGAACCATCAGTAAAATTCATAAAAAAATATTTTAACCAAAGTATAGTAGGAGAATAAATTTGATTTCAAATACTCGAATGAATTTTAGCATTCTGCTTTTCTTAGTTAAAGTATTATTTTTCTTGAATCTCAAGGTTTATTTTTTCTTAAAGTAAAAACTAATTAATGAAAACAATTTGTCCCACAAAGAGGTTGCTATTTTGAACTGTGTACCAGATTTATTAAACATGCTACAAACTTTAAACTCAACAGTTATAAATAAATTCATGTGTAAACTAAAATTAAAATAGCCACACGTTTCATTTGATTTACATTAATCAGACCAACGTAGCGGAACAACAAAATTGTGAAAAAAACTGGATGGAAAATCTACAATGCATATCGATTGATGGTCATCAATTCAAAATATGGGTTACTCAAATGAACTCAAATAATTTAATATTTGGTTTACCACTTTTTATCTTTATAATTTTTGTCATTTATTTCTAATTTATTTTAATACTTCAAAACACATAAAAATCAAAACACCTTTATTTTAAAGTTTTGTAATTTTTTTTATTACGTCATTTAAGTACGTTGGAATTAAGTGAGACTCTTAGGGGGAAGTTACATTTGTGTTTGTTGTAGCGTAGCTATGGATCAAGCTTGTGTGTTTGATACACAGTTGCAAATCAACAATCAAATAATTGATTATTTTTTTGATGATGCAGGCCTTTGATGCAGTTTACTTCAATGGAGCAAACAGAATTGGTTGGAATATAATCATAGGTTGTGCATTGAGACCAAAAAATGTGGATGGTTTTTTAATATTAAAAGTAAGTATTAAGTATAGGCATACAACACATACTAATAATAATCTTTTATTGTCATTTATTAGCAAAATAAAATTACAATAGACAATGTCAGGAGACAAATATGACATCATATGCTTAAACATATCCTTTACCTTAATAAAAGGGTCAGCACATATTTATTTGGCTAAAAAACCTATTAATTTTTTTTTATTATAGGTACAGTAAAAGAAGTTTTTGATGTCAGAATTATCAATGTCCTATTATGCTAGTTTTCAGTGTCCCTTTTAAGCAAATAGGTATAGTTAGACTAAGAGTGTAAAGTCAGTCTCCAATAAAAACAATATTACAATAACAGGATACTACAAGTAAAATACTAAAACATAATCATTTAAATGAATCCCAACAACCTACGTATTTATGTTGCACAATGTATGTAAGGTCAAAGGTGGTACCAAGTGCTGGGTGTTTAAATTCTGTTCTTACCAATTATAAATAAATAAATAGTTGAGCTTCAGTATAACAATTTTCTGTTTGATAGTGTTTTCTGGTGAAGAACTTGATAGGTAGGAGCATAAAATAATCACTGACAAAATTGTTATGGTCCCCAAAATTGCCAAAGCAGGTACAAATTGAGACAAAAAGGGATTTTTTAAGCTAACATCGCAGATACAAAACACTACGCAACTGCACCAATAAGAAGACTCACAACCGTTGCACATTGCATGATAAAATAAATCTGTTTCCATTATAGACTGATCCACTATATAGCTGTAAATTAATTATGGCTCTCAAAACAGAACAAAAATCATTTGGTGGCTCAGTCGGTATTGTGATGGACTGAAAAACCAAGACATCGGTGTCTTAAGTTTGCGACCCAGCATTGCCAACTAAAATTTATCCGTACAGTTGTTTCTTGTACTATACTGCTCACCCCTTGTTTGCTTGCTGTCCACGCACAGGCCCTTGTGGACAGCCAACGCAAAGTTAAAAGAGATCGCCAACCTCTTAAAAAACCTGTAGTACAGAAATAAAAATGAATTCACGTATTAACTCATATATTCAATATGAGTTCAAGATTTCATCATAAAAACAAATTAATGAACAAACAAATGAACATAAAAATGAATTCACGTATTAACTCATATATTCAATATGAGTTCAAGATTTCATCATAAAAACAAATAATACAATTGATTATATTGGTACTTATACCTATTGGTATAAGTTGTACTTATACCAGTAGGCCTACAATAGAAATATTTGTGTTAATACTTTTGTTTCATTTTTACACCTGTTATTCCTAGGTGCCAGGCGTTGGTCTTCTTCTTTCTCCAAGGCTCCCAGACACAGTTCTTTTCAAGAAAGAAGAGGATTTGAGTTGTTTCTCTACTGATGGGTTAACTCTTACTCCATTGAAACCAATGCAGTTATGGCATTTGCAATACAACGGAAAAATGAGGTATGTAAAAGAACAATTTTTTGGTGAATTGTTTAGTACGCATGACTCTTCCGTCCTTCTGAAACTTAAAGTGTGGGTGTGACATGTAAGTGAATGATGGTAGAAGGTAGAATATCTCTGTTGGACCAAAGCCTTTGTTTTTCTTGACAAATGTACCTAAATCTATACTAAGAAATATAATTAATTTTTTAAAATTGAATTGTAAAGAGTGTTGTACATTTAGTATTAATGCAAAGATATTAACTTTTAAGAAATCTTGAGGTATACAACTTAAGGGGTGACAATAATTAGTCGTGATAAGTACATTTAATTGTTAAAAATTGTTAAGTCTAAATCTAAGTTAAAATCACTGCTCAAATTACATCACAACCCTCAAAACATACAAAGTTACAATTTACCATGGTTGTTTTGTTTAAGCTCTTAGGCCGGCGCCACACTATCCTATTTTACCATCCCGGTGGATGATTCGAACTCATGGGTTTTAATAGGAGCGGTTACGTTGTTGCGGTTGCGGTGCGTCGACGGGATCCACCGCATGCTGCTGCGGCATACCGGTATGACCGGACGACGGGACGAACGGCGAAACACATGCAGTTAAATGAGAGCAGCCACCCCATCCCGTTCTGCCGCAAGTTTGTCCCTACTGTTTGCTATCAACAGTGCTCAGAATTTGATGCTCGCGCTCTTCACTCGAAGTATCTTGCGTTGGAGCAGGAAGGTTTGACAGGGTAATGTCAATGTGGAAAAAACGCATCCCGCTCAACCGCATCCTGCTCAACCGCATCCCGCTCAACCGCATCCCGCTCAACCGCATCCCGCTAAACGGGATAGTGTGGCATCGGCCTTAGTGTGCTATAGTTTAAATAACTTGGATTAGCAAGCAACGTCCTCCTAGTAACAACATTTTTTCATGAAGGTAAAATGTACAACCAACTCTTAAAAAAAGTTGATACCACCGATCAAATATGGTATCGTTTACTTGGCTGCTTTTCATATTTTGAAGCTATTGAACTTTAAATACAGTACTTTTACAAGAAAATGTTTGCAAAACATCAGGTTTTAAATAAAATTAAGACAAATGATGATACAGCAATGCTTTTCTCTCATAATATAATCAAGCTTTTCTTTGGATCAGCTTGCTAAATTGTTTTCTTCAATGACTAGACAGGGCATAAAATAACATGTTAACAGTGTTGAGATTTTGTCGCCCAGTAGCTATGGGTGGTGCTGGAATATTTTTTTAATGATTCACATTTTAAATGTATTGGCATTTCAAAAGTATTAAAAAAATAACATTGTGTAATTATTTTAGAGTATTCTCAGCTTCCGTAGTAGTACACTTTTGAAATTGAGCTATGATTTTGGCCCAAGAGGTTGTGGTCTTGGCCTGTTACAACGTTCTAGAATACGTAATTAAGTGATATTATATGGACTATTTACAAGCAAATATAATAGGAAAATTCATTAAAAGATAGGCCTACATAGAAATGTGTGAAATTCACTTTAATTTATGCAAAATACTTCTGGGGGAACCCCGGTATTCCATACCCCCCAGATATCCTGGTAAGTCCAGTGTCACTGTCGCCCTGTGGAAATCCCTTAAAATATGCTCTGACTAGATAGGCTTGAAAAACTGAAATATGAACCTTTATAAAATGTTACATAGACATATTTTCATAAACATATGAATGTTAACAGTTACAGTAAGAAACGTGATGAGGGAACTCTCCTGGTCGCTTTGTTTGAGTTTTAGATTCTTTAAGATTAACTAACAATGAAGTGTCACCAGGTTAGCTAGTTAACAAAGTCAACACCTAAGTAATATAAAGACAACACTTGTTATGTATAGTGATCCTTGTAGCATTTAAAAGTAATTGTATATTTATTTGTTCTCATTGGTTTTAGATTATCGCATAAACCTCATAAAAAAGTCAAAGTGGAAATAGACGCTACTTGGGAGTCAAATTTACCTATTTTCAACTATGACACTAATGTTCTTACAAAAAATATTGCTAAAGCTATGAGTAGAGAGTCGTGGTCTTCTCAGTACTTCAAACTGTTGAAAAAGTGAGTATACATAAGTATACATGCAACTGCTGTTTTTTTTTTTATTTTTAAAATATCCTCAAAGAAATAATACTTTGATGACCTAATCATTTTTATATTCAAACCCATTTTTTTGTAGAAAAAAAAATAGTTTATAATATCATTTACAGAGACATACAAACACTTAAAAAGCTGCTATTAATTTCAAAGAATTACAAGGGCAGTTTTTTAAGTAAGGGCAGTTTTTTTTTCCGTATTGCTCTGTATTTTGCGTGTACGCCGCTTACTGGCATCATTTGTGTATAGAATGACACTATTTGCAGCTCTGTTGCTGATGTGTACACTTTGCTGTGTGTTTGTTTTTAGAAATATAGAATCTGCCGCTGCGTTTAAGATAAGGTGAGTGATACGTTTTAGACCACATGAAACATATCTAAAGCTAACATTTATCACGAGATGGCTGAAGTTTATGACCCTAATTCATATAGGGGAAAGTACAGAAATGGGCTAGGGAGTTAAAAAAAATGGCGGTGGAAATGTTAATTTCCAAAGGAATAGTCTTTTTGGCGGGTACCCAGACTTCTCATAGAAGACCACAAAGGAAACAGACAGAAAATCTGTGAAGTTTAAGTCGTTCATGTATTTGTACACTATATTTTGCAATGAGCCTACACCCAATAACCGGCAATATTTTGATGGTAGTTTATAAGTATTCTCTACAAACAGAAGAATTAACACATGACTGTATGCTTTGTTTCTGGTCTCAGTTTAACTAATTAACCGTATTCAGAGGTACTCATATAACTATACTAAGGAAAATCCTTCCTTATAAAGAATATTTTTGTATAGAACTTACTTATTTGGTGAATACAATTCAAATTTAATATTTTTAAGTGTTTTTTTAGTTTCCACCAAACACATTATGAACAGTTTGGAGAGTTAAGCGGGAAAGTGATTATTGACGGAGTGGATTTCAAACTAAATATGTCTACAATGAGAGACCATTCTTTTGGTAATTATGATTTTTGAAACATATAATTAAAATAATTTATTCACAACAATTAGTATACATTTATGTATGCCCATTAATTTGTATACAATTAGTATTCAAATGTTATGATCAAAGATTAAGTTATTGATATTAAAATAAGTTTTAACAAAACTTCAAAAGGATTTAAAGCATTAGGGGCTGAAATTCTAACTACTATCGGTAAGAACAATCGCCCTTAATGTACATTACCAGGCAGGTTAGTTTGACTCCATAACCCATACAGCTTTATATACTCTACTAATGCAATGTTTCTTCAAAAAAATTTTTATTTGATTCTAAAAAAAAGATGCATTTGGTCAGAAACTGGAAAAAATTACTATTTAAATATTAAGATTTAATTGAGAAAAGAAATTTAGGATTAAAAAAGATATGTATAATTGAATACATTCTAATTACAATTATGATTAATGTTTTCATTTGCTCCAACTATGTGTTCAGGCCTGAGACGGGAGTGGAGAGCTTTTCACCGCTACATGTTACTCATGTTTACTTTAGCTGATGGCACCTGTGGTACTGTTGGAATTGTCTGCATCCCCAACTTATTCTCCAGGTACGAGATATAATTGTGGTTTCATCATATGGCTTATTCTTACAAGTATTGTATTAATTAAATTATTACGTTTCCATTTATACTTTTCAAAATTTGCATTGTTTGTAGATATATTAGTTGTATTACCTTTTTCAAAATGCTGAATTTAGAAACCGACTGTATTTAGAATAAAGTGGTTTGGTTTAATGTGTTTAACAGGTGATATGAACCCTTATAAATGAAAACTTAACAATTTAAAATTCTTGATAGAACTTGGTCCCTGACTTTTCTTTGGTCAATGAACTATTAACACGTTCCCTGCGGGCCATCAAATGGCAGGCGTAGCCCCAGTGTGGCGCAGCCCGCAGCGTCGAAAAACCCGATTGCCAGGTGATTGGCTCTCATATTTCGGTATGACGAATAGCAAATAACGTGGGGTGATGTCCTGTTTTATAACAAGAGTCGACGTAGTTCGCTAAACACTCACAGATAGCAGCACTGCTTGGAACGTAGCCGGTCCCATCGTATTGCCAATTGGAGGGAGAAAGACGGGACAACAAGTTGATTTTTAAGTTTGCCAGACGGGGATTTTATGGGGAAATTTTACTACCAACCTACAACACAAAAAAAAGCAAGTCACCCACTACACGCTAACGTGGAATAGGTCTGACTTCGAGCGACGCTAGAGCAAAAACGATGATATACGAAAGGCATTGCCAAGCGTATCCGATTGGTTACTGCAGCACCTGAACAGCGCTCGGCCCGTATCCTATCGGATACGCCGCAGTGAACGTGTTAATGATCGTTTAGGATTTTTATTTTTACTCTTCTTCTCAAATTTGAAAACTCTGTAAATTGAAGCTTAACGGTTTCTAGATCTATATAAATTAATATGTTGGTTCAATAAACTTTAAAATCAAATTTGAATATCAATTAAACAATTGTATTGACTGATTGTTATATTTCTCATGACAAAAAATAATGCCTCCTCCAGCCACTGTTGGATAAACCATGGTTTTCATTTGTCATTATGTTTGTTCATTGATCATATTGTCTTTGTATGAGTTGCTCTTTTTTTATTGCAATGAGATGGGGATGAAAGTAATTTTTAGCAGTTATGAGAATGGTCCTATATTGGAAAAAAGTTGTACAACTAATCAAGAATCGCCACATCAAGAGTTTTATTGCCATTGACCTTTCTTTGTACAAAGGAATATACATAGTCATAACACATACAAAATATTCCAAATTAACAAATAAAATACAAAGTTTTACAAACTGGTAGGCAGTTAGGGTAATGATTCCTGCAAATCAATTATGAAATCAGAGAACAAAAAGTTAACGTATTCGATTACTCTAATCTTAGTTTTTAAAATTGATTGATAAATCACAATTTTTCTGTTCTAAAAAAGTGCAATTTTTGTACTATTTTTTCTTATCCGGTGCATATGTTGTACATGTTGTATGGTAACCTCATAAACAAAGATCGTATATATTCAGTAGTAATTTAGTAGAACTTATTCAGTCTTGAGTGTTATAGTATTATTTGTTGTCACAGAATGGAAATTGGCTATGTATATGGGAAGGATAAACGGTTAGAAGCTGTTTATGATGTGGACTTTGATCTCTATAATCATGGAGAGACTGGCCTTCCGCCTACAGATTTTGGTCTGACATTCTTCGCTGGTAAGTACAATTTTATTTGCTTTTGAATATTGTTTAGACTGTATAATACAAATGTAATACTATTTTCATAACCATATAACTAAAATCAGCTGGATTTTTTCATTTATTAGGACCTCTGCATTCTAAACTTTTGGTAACACATACATACTTCTGAAAATATAAACCAACTTATGATCTTGAGCTGGCCATAATAATACAAAAACTACCTACCACATGGATTTAACACATCTAGTAAGTTTACTATTTAACCTATCGCAGGGAATTTCTCCCACAGGGGTGGGAGCCGCTCAAGTAATTTGGCCTAGGGCCGCAAGTACCTTAAATCCTGCACTGTGTTTACTAATCTTGTTCAAATCAACTTCATTACCATTCATGAAACATAAAATAATGGAAAATGTATGCAGTAATCTTAAGCAACATAAACTTATCACCAAAAATTAACTTCAATCAAAGTATATATCCAGACTGTTCCTATGGTAGGAGGCAGACTTTATGAGATGAAGGTACATGTGGAGGAGACGACCGAACTGTTCCTTGGGCTTACATGGGAGGCTCGTATTGTAGAGGGTCTCTGTCGTTTCTCCATCAACAGGGTGGATGGCTGGGGCTGTGTGGAATGGATGTATGCTCACTCGGACGGGCGACCATTTAAACAAACATCTAAACATCCACTAGCTGCTGAATAGGTACTAGGTAACATATCACCATACAACCATACTTACTTTACTGCTTTGAGCCTTATTTGGTTTCCGGTTCCGCTCAGCTGCTAGTATAAGGACCAATATGTTTGAGAATTAATTATAATGGTAACATATGATTAATAAGAGCTGGATTGTTAAGCCTCATTAGTCTTATGAAAGAGCAGCACTTGAAATATAAAATACACCTTTTTCACTAGCATTTTTATACCATTCCCAGTTTCTCTTTTTGATATTATTAGCCATTGATAAATTGATTAGAAATAAAGTAAATAGAAAAGGAAAAGGAGGGTCACTTTTTGATGATTCCATTCCTTTGCCACTTATGTTCTTCAGTTGACAAACTATAAACTCAAACTTTTATTTCAAATACTGTAAAATATTTTTTTTAATGGTGAATTCTGCAACTGAAAATTAACTGTTCCACTTTACAATTGCCTTATCTTATCATATACAGTGGTGTAGCGACCGTGGAGCAAGTGTAGCAGTTGCTACAAGGCGGAAGGCTCTGGGGTTATATGATAGTATCTCAGTATCTTTAGAGTCTGTTTGAAGGTGGAACCAGACTGCTGAAATAATATATAACTAATAAATAAATGTCTGCTCCAAACTTGGCTACGCCACTGTCATAGTACAATCATAGTGGTGCAAAAGGCAAGGAAATAGAATTCTTTAGAACGGTGTCTTGTGGAATAGTAAGGAACTTTTTTACTTTCTTACTATAGCTATTAGTATAGCTCTTAGTTAAGTGGTGTAAGCGATTAGATAGACAGATAGATAACTTACACAAAATTAAACTATGAAAGCATCTACTAGTCTTGCGGTTATAGCCTTAAACTAGATTTTAAAATGTTAATTCTTTTCTAATTTCTATATATTGATTGAAAATTCACGAATCACTCTATAACACGCTTAAACATTTTTTGCACTTAAACTTCTTAGCTAAGGATCTGTATAAATTGCTCACAAAAATGTCACTCTTATCATAAATTCAAGTCCAGAATTTATCCATATCATTCCTGACACTATAAAATACCCCTTCACAGCAAACCTACAGACTAAGCAAATTTCCATTTACCTGGCTGGATTTCTACAAAAATATGACCTGAAAATTTGTTGTCAGATTTATTTCCTACTAGTGTACATGTTGCTCGAATTCGAGCAATTGCAAAGCATTACAGGAGTTTCAAAACGAATAACAGTCATATTTACAATGAGTTAAAAAGAGTCAACTCAAAGATTACCGGTGTGTAACTCAGACCATGTTTATCTTCGTTATTTATAAACCTAAATCATTCCGGCTGGTTTTCTCCTTCTCAAAATGCCTCGCTGTACATGCAACCATAGATAAAACATACTCCAACACAGGTCATTGCTAGAGGGCCAATTGAGAACGAAAAGTCGTTTTGGGGTAGTGTTAGGGTGCATTTGTAACCTAATAGTTGAGATTGTCCAGGGTCAGGTGATGAGTTAAGCCTATTACGCGCCACTGTAGCTGCGGTCGTTATCACGATTACGCCTGCTGTCTATGTTTCGTTGTCGTCGCGTCGGAGGCATTTAAAAGAAAAAAACAACAAATAAACAAATTATAGCTACAAAAAACAACGATAAACGCACAAATTTAAGTTACAATCATACTAACACGATCCGTCACAGCGACACAAAACAACGATAAATACACAAATTTAAGATACAACCATACTAACACGATCCGTCTTGGGGGTTATGTTTACACAAACTTAAATAGTAAATATACTTAATGCGTTTCATTGAATTGAAAAATAAATAACAGCAATTAAATTATACAGCTGATCAAAATGTAAACAATTATGTTCTCCATAAGGATAACATGGGAACTTTCAAAGCCACTGGGGCAGAGCCCAAGGGACGCTTTCAAAAATGTAAGGCCAGTTTGCAAATCTACACGACACGCTCTTTCCAATAAGTCGTCAATGGATAAAATCGGTTAAGAAATGGTGGAGGAGTTCAACCGACAAAGTTTCATGTAGCGTATTAATTATATAGATTTAAATAACATTAATTTTAATGAGTACCTAGGTTTGCTGCTACAGGGAAGGTATTGAGATGTATTTTTTATTGAAATGTTGATGGCTTAGTATGAAATAAACAAAATTTCCAAATTTTATTAAAATATATCCATAAACAAGCAAACTACAAACGTTTATTTATTCTCCATAAGAATAACTTGGGATTTTAAATTTAAGTTTTTTAATTATCTCCGTAACTGTTAGGCATACAACAACACTTCAATATGCAAAAATTTTTTTTAAGCTCTAAAAAATGGTTTGGAAAGAAATTTTATGTTTTTAGAGTCAAAAATGGGAAAAACCAATTTTTACCCCATAAACCCCATATAAACCCCCGTTCCCATAGTCCGATCATGCTGGTTCGCGAACTCGTTCGAATAAACGTAGTTTTACATGTTTCTACCAAATTTTTTGAAATCGGATCATTTTTGCTCTAGTTATCGCACTAACGGACACATATGTATATAAATTAAATATATATATATATATATATATATGAATTTGAATAGAGGGTGTTTTTGCCCTCTGGGGACCTCGAAACGACAAAGTAAATCGGTCCAGGGTCCAGGTTTTACCATACAGTAATAGCTTATATGGTAATAGCTTATTCCCTATATGAGAAATACGTTAAGTTAAAACCAAACATTAGTATATTGGAAACCAACTTTGACAGATTTAAACAACAAAACAACATATAAGGGGTTATGAAGCACAATAAAAACAGTGTCTGCAATTTTTGCACTCTTTATTTAAATGTCACTGAGTCACATGTTCAAAAGAAGAACCATGGAAATAGTCTGAGTTTTTTTACAAAACTTGTAAATTCTGATCATACAAATATCTGTACATCACAGTGTGTTAGAAAGGTTGTAGCATTGCTTATAAAATTATTATTTATCTACTCTATGTAATATGTATGAATTTATACAAACTGAGACATTGTAGTGGTGATCTGGACACATCTGGAAGGATCGGATTATCAGTAACAGAAGCAGATGTATTTACATATTCACAACTCATCACTTGACAATATTTATAATAATATTACATCCTGAATCAAGAAGAGGCCTACGTGCAGTTACTTTGACACAAATTATGTAAATTGTTAAACTTATTATTAAGATAGAGTTTAAACAGCAGATAGATAAAATTTTACAATATTATATTAAGGTAACCAAGGAAATGAAATGGATGACATTTTTACACGATAGAGTGCTGTATTGTATAATAGAACGGGTAACCAAGAGTTACCTCACATTTTAGTCCCAAGAGTTTAAGTAATTTTATATATTTTTTGTCAGTAAAGATTCATCTCTAAAACAATAAAAAACACAAAATTTTACTTACATTTTTTTAGAATTTTTTTCTATAATGTTCCTACAGTCTTTGCTTTTCTCTATTATTTTGATAAACGTATAGCAGTAGTTCTGCCTCTTGTTAATTGAACATTTCTCTTCAAAGTATTACATTGCCATTAATTTAAAGATCTTTGTCTGTACACATTATGCTCAAGACCAACATTATGTACATGGTAACATGAACCCATTCAGTAAAATAATAAGATGGTTAAAGTATTACTTGTGTGTAACAATATATCACTATAATACATAAAAAGGGTATTTGTACAATATACACACTACTGCAACAAACACTAAACACACTATATTTGTATTTGTTTATAAATCTCAATTTGCCTTTAAGTGAATAATAAGGTTGCTTGGGGTTTTTTAAAGTTAACATTTAAAATAGGGTAGTTATAGAATGGGCAAAAATTAGCGTCTCTGTATGGATTTTGCAATTATTTTATAATGCTATATTTAAATCAAAATTCCAATTTACTTAGTACGGTACATCATTTTATTATTTACCTATTTTTTTCATACAATAACTCTTATCACTCTGCAAAACCTTTTATTTCAAATACCTTATAGTATTTTTTTTATATGGTGAATACTGCAACTGAAAATTAACTGTCAGTTTACTTAGAATAAACATAGTCCATGACCTAGAATTACCTTTTGTTCAGTGAAATAACATTTTGTTTATTACCAAGTGGGTTGACGTTAATTCATATCCCGTTAAACCAGGAAAACTTTTAAAATACCTAGAACAACTGTAAAACCCATTAAATGTGTAACTTAAACAATGTAATCTTAAAAAAATATATAAAAATTCAACTGTATCCTCATATAAAAATAAATTTTGTCCTGGCAAACAAAGCAAAACAGTTTTGTGCCATGAGTAAGATTGGTTTTCTAGATTATTTTATTGTTTACTATAACTTTGTTAATAGACCAAATAATGATAGTTAATGTATGGTACTTATTTTTATTTCATGTTCATGATATTGTTTACCAAGACTTCTGCATTGATAATTTGGTTTTAAAACCAACCCCAGTGAAGTGATGTGAAAAGTGAATGTGCTTCCTCATTTCTCACTTAAAGAATTGAATTGTGTATGTCTAACCTATACTTGAGATATGTGTTTTATGAATTGTGATACTGTTGTGTGGAAAGGCATATGTACGTATATTTATATTACAAAACAATATTTTATCATGATTGTTTCAACACGGTTGGGACAGGTCATGCAAACTGCTACTAACATCTAACTTTAAAATGTGCTAACAAATAATACACTATTTAATTAACATTTTTCAATATTTACTTGATTTGTTTTAGTTTATTTTTTGCTACAAACAGAAAATCACAAACCATACCAAAACAGATTGTGCTTAGTAACAAGTATGACAAATTAAAATTAATTATGGGACAAATCTTGGTTTTATTAGAAGAAATGTAGCAGCAATGTTCAATGAAGGGGAAACTGATTCAAACTAATCCACACATATAAATTATCTTAATATTCCAATTCTCCTTTTACTAAAAACTTTGTCATAATGTATTTGATCGATACATTTCAGCTTAGAGACAATAATAGGTTTTAGGTTCAATTCTTCAGAAAATAGGTCTTTAATAAGGTAAAATTCCCATTAATAAAGATTATATGACATTGACATACATTTTAACAACAGTAAAAGAAATTTCGATTTCAAAATAATGTATAGTTAACTAACTAAATCTTTGCATAACTCTAGTTTAACGTATAGTTTTTTATTTTCTTTAAATTTATGTTTTTCTTGAAAAAAATTAAAATTTAATAAAGGTACCGGTAGCATTGCAAGTTATAAATATGTAACAATTACAATATTGTTGTATACAGACATTTTTTTATAATAATTTTCGGTGCTATGTGTTAATCTTGAATAAAAATAAGACCTGTTTAAACAGTTGATTGTCCCTGTCGCAGAAAATGGAACAAAATTTGGAAAACATATTAATGGTTTACTTTCAACTTTTGTAGGTATGAACTTTTACTTTAAAAAACTTCTAACGATACCTTCCAACAGTTATTTCTATGTAAGATAAATGAATTGCAATGGGAAACTACAATTCTTTCTGTAGCCAATTTTTGTTTTGGGGATTCAATCTTTTGTGTTAATGTCAATTTAAACTGACTTAAATAGATACATAAACAAATAATTAAGAGACATTGAATTGGGAAATTTTTTTACCTAACTAAATTTAATTAGTACTATGAACCTTAAAGGTTCCTTAATCTTCAAAAATTTAACATTCACACATTTTATTATCACTAAGGCTGCAATCAACATTGCCCGCACGAGTTTAGTGTTTGGGCGAGCTTGCACGTGCAATGTGCATGCAGGAGTAAACATATAGTTCAGACAAACAAGAAAACAATTTGAAATTTGCACAGTGTGATCATACTACACTCACCAAGTCGCACGAGCGTCCAGTTACTCGCATTACCAAATTCTTGCAACCAAATGTATTTGTTTTTGAAGCAAGTACGTTCAGGCGCTGTGTAGTTTTTGATCCCTTATTTTTTAACTGCTTTTGCATCAAATGGATTAACTTTTAGTGGAGTTGGTATGTGCTAAAGCAATATGAAACATATCTGACAAGAAAAATTCAAACAGAGAATGCTTGAACGATTTTCGAAAAATGTATCTAGCTGCCCCAAAAGATCAGGGAAAACACGGTGGCATTCTCCTACCACTTAACTGTCAACAAAGTGTCTGTTCACCCATTCCTCCCTAATTCATTCACTATCCATTACCCAAAACTTTAAATCACTATTTTCCACCACAAAAAGTTCATCATCACATGATTCCATCTTTTGCATCAGCCACTGACTGCAGGAATATGCGAGTACTTACAAGTAATGTTAACACTCCAACTCGTTCGAGCAAGTTGTGCAAGCTCGCGTCATTTAACACTCAGGCAAGGGTGCGAGCAATGTGATCACACCCTGATGTCCGAATATGTGTCACGAGTAATTTTTAGGAAGAAGTATCATAAAATGTGTTAGTGGACCATTGTAGTCTAGATAATATAGAATTCACAAAGTTGCAATTGCCATCAGAATTATTGTCTAATCTGAATTCCAATACCAACTAAAGTGCTAACTCTTCCCATAGCAATTCAATTTTAAATCAATATAATAATTAATTTAATTGCTGTGATTCTCGTCAGCATTGTGTTTTCTATATGTTTAAAGTATTTGGGATTGAAAACTATGGTCAGTCTATACAATAAGGTCTATAGAAAGTGTTATGATTCACTGGCGTAGCTGGTAGAAGGAGTATCTTCTTGAGACATAGAAAGGTCCTGTGCTACCTCATCATCAGCGCCAGTCGAGTCCTGACCTTCCGAAGACCTCTCCTCCCGAACTCCAAGTCCTGCTCCTTGCCCGTAAATGTTTGTTCCGTTCTCCTGCTTTATTCTCATTATTTCGTCCTCCTGAAGCCTATCACAGTACATTTGTATATTAGGAAAGTCTTTTAACGAGATTTACAAGGGCTGTACAAAAGTAACAAAAGTTTGGTTCTACAGTGGTAGTGGGCAAAACTAACCCTGTTATATTAGCATCATAGTTTTTGTAGACTATTTTGATTGCAGTGGTGTTAAAATTCCTACTAGTTGTGAACTGGGTTATTAATATTGAACTGTACTATGGCTTATATTGGAGTTTTTTGATACACAGAAAGCTCTTTTTATCTGACTGACCTATCCTCTTTGGATTCTAGACAGTTACACCTACCACCTACAGTTTAAGGTGGATTCCAAACTACTGGGTCTCGGAATTAACAAGTATCTAAATGCCGATTGGTGGGATTTAAACTTGAACTTAAATAATAATAATAAGATAAAGTAGAGTGAGACGTTAATGAAATAATTTGTACTTGGTTTTGTAACTGATGAAGGGGAAACAACAATTAAATACAAAACTTAATAATATCTATCAATCAATCAATCAATCAATTATCAATCATTAAGATGGGGATGCCACTTAGGTGCATATTTTAACCCAAATATGAGTGAAGGATGAGTGTAGAATGGTGTGAGATGATCTGTGATTCATTAGCCAGGATCATTCATTAAAAGCCCAATGATCAGGAACAGCTGGGTCCAGTTTCGAACCATCAAAAAGCTACTGACTTTTCTCAGGATCGAACCAGCGACCTTTTGATTAGTAGGCGAGCACTATAACCACTCAGCTACCCAGCCAGTTAGATTAGATATGATCAGGATTATACATGAAATATAGCAACATTTTATTACAGTTTCTCATATTTTCATGGAATTTCCTTAGTATATTGTTGTGAATATATTTATCAACCCTCAGACTTTGGTCCCATTAAGCTCGGGACATTGGTCTCTGAGGTCTCGGGTTCAAATCACGCCAAATCACCAATGTATTTTAATGCCTTAACCCCTAGGTCTATCCAGAAGTTACGTGAAAAACAATCCCAAGGTCGTGCCTAGCATCCTAACCTAAGAAAAAAACCTGTATTTATGTAGTCTTCTGTATAAAACTGTATGAAACTATATCAAAACGTATCGTCAGAGATGCTAGCGGCCAGTCTTTATGCAAAAGTTGTCAATATACATGTGTTTAACAATTTTATTACCACAATTTGAGTTGTTGATAATGGTAAAATATAGATGAAGGATTATTTATTGGTAAATTTAATCTAATTAAATACATATTTGTTTTGTTCAGACATCTAAAATATCTGTTACTTCGAGTACAGCTCTCTTATCATAAACAATTTCAGTTCTGATTCTCAGACTTAGTATATCCATGGTTGAATTGATCATAAACAAATTTGTATTTACGAGTAGATATAATGTATGATTAGACCTTCTTGGTACGTACCACCTGACATCAAGTTGTCTCAATATAGATTTATTCATTCTAAAAGTCAATCTAAAAGATATTCTAATAAGGCACCACTTTTAGTTGCAAAAATTCCAAAGACTTGTTAATCAGAAAATCTATCAAGGTATCTAGTTTAAGGATAAATTGCAGGTTATTTTAAGAACACACTTGTTATGAATATATTTTTTCTGTCGAGGGCCTTGCAATAATTTTATTGAAATTTTAATATATCCATTTAATTGATATTGTTATAATGTTTGAACAGTAGTTGTTTATATATTTATCTAGCCATACATACTTGTTGTATTGTCATAATAGATTTATTAAAAAGTGGATGGAAAAGTTCTGAAAACCTGCATGTTCAACGTACCTAAATGAAATAGACAACACCATTAACCAAGAATTTTGTTTTATTAAAGGATATTTCTTTATTGGCCTTTTTCACAAAATTCGGCAGCTGAGGTTTGACAGATCATCAATTTGTAAATTATTTTTTTGAGTTCCTTAAAACTAAGAGTACCGGTAATCTGATGATTCCCAAATATCATTACCTTTGTTTCTTGTGCAGAGGTGAATGGGAGTCCCTGTCCGGACGGAGGGGTGGAGGGGGGCTGCTCACATATCCGGGAAAAGCATTTTCTCCCAATGGTACCTATGTTGTCACATACATTGCATTTATCTTATTAAAACAAAATATTACTAATATCTTTCCCAATGTTTTTACTGATATTTGCCTACTTATTTTTTATGTACAATAACATTAAATTATTATACCCTGCTGTAACTCAAAGAAAATAGTTATCATAATTGCCAAAAAAATTATAATTATAGTTCATTGAAAATTTTGTTCATCCAAACTCATGGGAAAAGCTTATTTTATATTGTTAAGTTCAGTTATACCTAGATATCACGCTTGAATAGTAAGAGTGACAGGAAAATATTTATTAGTATTTTGTAGCTCAACACATTGGGGTTCCTTGGATCCATCTCATGAATACAAATCACTTAAAGGTGATGTCAGGCATCCTTGGTACTGTGTCTTTTGTGTAGCCTCTAGAACTTGTTTCAGGATAATTACGCTCCTTGGGATAAATTGTAGTGACAATTTAAACTACAATTGTTGTTTTTTTTCATATGACTGTTGATTTTAATTGCATTTGTAATTTATTTGCTTTTTATTACTAAGTGAATTAATAGTATTATTAGTATTTTACTTTGCAAACTTCTAGGACTAATTCAAGGCTGCTAAGTAAATCAGTTTTAGAGAACATTTACCATTCCGAGGACAAAACAGCCTATGATACCTATGTTACCTTGGGTGAACTTTGAAAATTATTATGAAAATAGTATGACAGTATGACAATCAACATGATTCCAATTTGGATAGTAGTTCCCCAACATAATAGCACATCCTAGCAACAAGTTTCCAATACTGCCATATGTAGGGAAAATGTTGGGACAGACAGTATTTTGAAAGAATAACGTAGAGAAGAACATTGTGGAAATTCATTGTTATAAAAATATCACTTGGTTGATCTAATTAAGGCTTCGCCCTGACACATATTTACCCGATCTCACTGCAGTGTAGGATGTACTAGACTGTTTCACACAGTGAGGAGATTCAATGTTCCAGTACTGGGTATGATCTACAGTCAACCAGTTGATTTGGTATCTACTCCACTTTTGTAAGAGTTTGTATATGGATGCTTACCTCTTTACGGTCCAGAATGTGATGTGCAGGAATACTACTTTAGAGGTGTGGTTTTTTATCTCCTATACTCTTAACTAGAGACTTTTGTTAATACTTTTAGCACTGAAAAGTAGCTAAAACTACAAAAGCTTTCCAAACATGTTGAAATATTTTAGTAAATATGTTGCATATAATTATAAAATGAAAAGTCCATGGTTTTGGAAGAGCTATAAAATATACTTACTTTGGTTTTGTATAATTGTTTATCATGTGTAGACATATTAGTACTTTATAAGTAAAGTCAAAAGCTTATTTACTATACCTGGATATTAGCACTACTAGCATCCCCATAAAGCCTAGGACTTTTGATGCTGAGATTTTCTTCTTGCTGATTATCCCTGTTACAAAAGAAAAATTGAGTCATTGGTGATTCTTCTAAACAAGTATGCTACACAGTCCCTTTTGAATTGGTTTAATAACATGATCTTAAAAAAAACTTTGTAAATATTGTAAGTGTGTAGTAATTACACATAACTTTTTACATGGTTATTAAACTGTTTTACCTCAAATATTGACTGAAGTTCTAAAAAAATATAGGGTACTTGATTAAATTTAACCTGAACCATATTCATCACAAGAGATACATAATTAGGAAACTATTACTGAAAGAAAAAAAAACAGATACTGTAAGGAGTTTTTCCTTAATATCCTTGAGTTAATGCTTAAAAAATATAAGTCATATTATTAGAAAAAGTAAGATTTTTATTAACAAATTTGTAATTTTTGGTATAATGTATTTTACTTTGTTAGCTTTTTCTTAGATAATCCCTATTTAAAAAAAGATGTATTTGCCTAAAAACCTGAAAATAGAAGATAAACATGAATAGCATTAGTTTCAAATAATAATTAAACCAGAAAACATATATCTAAATACGTACTTACTGGTAGCATAGTATGTTTCATTAAAACATTTAGCAAAAGATAGTAGGTAGCTGAAGAGTTAGAACAAAAATAGATAAAGAGGAGAAGCATATGAAAAACTGATAGAGTAATACCAAGTTGATCTGTACTGGAAAACTATCACTTCTAATCTGAAATAGACTTAAAGGTATTACTTTCACCTGGATACAGATACAGAAATGTTTCAGAATAACCTGCTCAGATGAACTCTTCATCACCCATCATTACAAATAAACATAGAACACAAAATCATGGTATGGAAAGTAAATTTTTTACCAACTGTTTTGCTGAGTTGGCGTGAATTCTGAGTGTTAAAGGCGATTCTATAGAGATTTGTGCACAATTTATTTCTTTAATCTATTTTCTTGCTAATTATAATATTATAATTTTCAATATCCAACATTCAGTGAGGCTATATACCCTTCATTTATTCAATATCCAGCAACTGACCATAAATTAACCCATCAAAACTTGTTTTACAAAAGACCGTCATAAATATATATATATTACATGATATTATTTTAACATAGCCATACAACAAATTCCGTATTATTGTTCTTTGATCTTATTTGCCTTCTCTTTATTCCTACTTATTTTTTATGTTTGTGGAGTAACAATCAAAAATATTCATATGGAGATTTAAAAAAAGGAAAAACTGCCTTCCCAAAGCAGTAAATGAAACAAATAAATAAATGTAACTACCGAAAAATCATATAAACTTGAGCAAATATACTCTTTTTCACAGAACCTTTTTAAACAGTTACAAGTAAACACATGATGACAATGACTCATGGTAAGAAATGCCATATGATATATTACAGGATTATCATTGTTATATAAATGTATCCAAAATAAAATGTATATTAATAATATTCCAAGCTGTAGAGACTATACAATACCTTAACCAGTCCATTTGTAGTAGTCATAAAACAAATCTCAGTACACTATTCCATTAGACGTATATTAATTTTTAAAATACTTAATATAAGATTAAAGAGTAAAAAGATAGCAAAAACTACAAATTGTAATATGTAAAGAGATAAAAAGGAGAAGATAAAGAGAAAAACATACACATTTCATGCAGAAGAAATTTCACACTGTTACTGTACAGCATGCATATTTACATTTACATTACAAGAGGAGATTATAAAAATAGTTAATACTAATACAAAAAGCAGTTCTAGCAAACTGATGTAAAACCCTTAGAAGTTGCAAAATACACAGATCCTCAGGTATCTATTTGGCAAGACCTTTGTTTAAAATATCTTAATCGATTCCATTCTTAATATCTTTAATATAAAAATAGTTGGTTTATTTCATCGTTGGATACTTACCATATTTTGATGTACTTCTTGCATAAGGTACTGACTAAAGCTAAAGCTTAGGTTTCCAAGACCAGATATATCTGTACATAACTATTGGCTTATATCCTTTAAAACTTGGTGTGATTGAAAAAGATTTACATTCCTGGTATGGTTTTAAGTCATGAATAGGGATATATTGTTTTAAGATCTTATAAATAAAAACATGTGGTTCTCCAATAGATTATTTATAACTCAAACCATTGTTCTCCCCTAGCTCCATTTGGGTTTTAAAACCACCATTAATTTTGCATTGGGTTCATAGATTTTAAATTTAAATTTTGTGCATTATGAAAATTCAAGTATAAAATCCTTATCAACTTAAGAAATTTTTTTTATAAACCACAAAAAATTAGAGTCCCTTTCAAACACATTGTTGTATGGCACAGAAGTAAAACTAATGGTTTTATGACACCTACTGACAATTACACAAGATCATGTCTTGTCTTATAAAATATTAAACTTCAGGATCCTAAGAACAAAGGGTGTGTCTTATTATTTTTAACATCATTTTGAAACTATTGAGCACAGAAGAAAACTATATTTATAGAAACCTTGTCTTGTGGGCATATTAATCTCACTACATTGTATGGTTTATATTCTTATGGTTTTAGAGATAATGGTTAGGATTGTACCATTTTAAAATCCACCCCTCACACAATCTTCTTTCTGATGTCATCTCAAAGTAGGGTTTTTTACAACTTACTGGGTTAAATTAGTACAAATTTCAGCTGTCAGATTTTTTCTTAGTTCTATGACTGAGCTTGTTGATTCCAACTTCTTCTGCTGGTTAGTTATTTTTAGATTTGTTGACCCAATTAATTGTAAAAAAAGTATAGTACAAATAATTGTTTAACAGTATAAACAAAATCTTCTGTGTGTACAGTATCATACTTGTCTGCATCATTGTGCCCCACTTGAACAAGTCCAGTGTGATACACAGAAGGAAGAATCCGGGCTAGGCATCATGGTGAATTTTTTTTTATTTTGGCCCATTTATAACATAATTAAATTTTTAACTTTAAAATTCATAAAACCTGTGCTTGCTCACACTCTTCAAGCATGATCTTGGAAACCAAGGCGTATAATAAAATCATCTCATATGTATGAACTTATTAAATTTCAACCAATATTAGGTAAGATAGATTTTTAATTGGCGTGTCAATTAAATTAGTTGGTACGTTTGATTCTAAGACACCATAGAGAACAGAACTCAGTTGCCTCAACCTTTACTTCAGCCAAACCCTAGCTTGCAGCTGGAGGTGTTTATAATTATAAAACAACATTTTTGATATCTGCCAAGCAAAATGAAGCAGCTAATTAAATATCAATTCCCTTGCTGCAGAAATGTATCTAAGATAGTAAACAATCACAACCAACAAAAAGGCAGACATATTGTGTGTATTTATTTTATTGCACTGTAAACCAGATAATAAGTTAGTAAGGAATGCCAATCTTCTCCAGGTTAAACACTTTCCAAAGTTCCTAACCTGTAGCTCTATAAATTACTAGATATGGAAAAATTAACGATGGAAAATAGCTACAGCAAACAGAACAGCATTCCTTGATATCATAGCATAATATGAAATAAACATTTAAGTGAATTGACTTGTCTTCACAGTTCTCTGTGCGGAAGAGTTTTGGTTTGGCACTAAGTCTATTAATCTATTCTTACCAAGAACAACACTCGACACATAAACTTATCATTCTTTTTCATTTCATTAAGAATCAGCATTGGTGTAAATGAGGACAATAAGTATATTGTTGGAAGTAATATGGATACAGCAAATCAATGTTTAACTTTTAAAATATACTGATTAAGGAAGTATTTGAAGACCCTCCCAAGATGAAAAGAACCATATCAATTATCAACCAATCCAGTAGCTTAAAATTTCACCTCTTCACGTATTAGATTCCCTATTATTATTCCTTTGGTGTCAAAATAACCTCTTAATGATTTTTCATTCAATCAACTTCCGTCTGTGTATTCCTCTTCTTTTGAGTTAAACAGCCACATACCCATATGCCTTGAGACAATATTCAATAAACTCCAAAAGCCTTTATGAACAAGAAAGTTGTGCAGCAAGCCATATAATTGACCATCCCAATTATTATTATGCTAAAGTAAATCATGCCAAAAATCTTGAAACAATTATATTGGCGAACGTGCCTAATCATCCTCAAAACAGTCATTAAAATATAACATTGAAATTAGCCAAAAATACAAGATCTATGTCTACACTGATAGAATAAATAAGATACTTAAATCACAAAAAAGGCTCTGGAAAGATATCATGCTATAAACATGATACGTCACCTGATATGTTTTAAATGTAGTAGATGGTCTCTATTGAAGTAAATGGCCGTGTTCTGTTTAGTCACTCATGGTAGGAATATTTTTTTAAATTTTATTTACAAGTTAAACTGAGAAAAAATAGCTGTTTCCCAATTAAGTCTTATGAACTACAAAGTATATAAAAAAGGTATAAATTGATGCATTGAAAATGTCTTCAGTAACCTTCCCTACTGAAGTTGTGTTTGTTTTTTTTTTTACTCTTTATCCTCACTTCTGTATTCTGCATTTTCAATAAGGAGCTATAGAAAATCAGTCGCCTTTTTTGACACAAAATGTAGGTTACTTAACTGTTTTTCACAGCTAATTGTTGCAGTTTTAGTTGTTTGTGCCAGCAATAAAATAATTGTTAAAATTTACTATGAGTGTTAAAGTAAGATCATTGGGTTTTTTAATGGAAAACATAGCTAAGCCAGATGTCTCTTTTACTGTATTGTTTATCTTAAACATTCTTTTGTTCGAACTAGTTATACATTTAGTCTTTCGTTTTCTATTTATCAAAGATTTATACTTCTCTGCAAACTCAACCAACTGGGTACAGTATATGCCAAGCTAATATTTTAAGCAACCGGATTTAATGCAGTTTAAAATCTAAACTGTGTAAACCGTTTTGTTTGTCTGTGTTTGTTTATTATGTTAAGACGCTATATGTAGCTCTATATAGTTTTGAATAGTGTTATTTTTTTAAACGTTACTTACATTAGTTGAAATCATGAATGAAAAAATACCCTAACATCACATGTTAGAGACATCAGTATTATCACTTGTGGCTGTGTTCAGAGAACATCTATTCTAGCCTTACCTCCAGCTTGGTGGTATTTTCATACAGAATAAAGAACTGTGTATAGGACTGTACATAGAGCAGCGGATGTAAAATAAGGAGAGGTCAAGAAAACGGCAATAATATACAGTAACTGGCCAAATGACTGATATGAGTCTGTAAAAAATTCATAGAAAGTAGAGTTAAGTTTAGTTTCCAATATTTAATAACTGTATAAAATTTGTTTGTCAACTTTGGATAAGCTAATTGCAAATTCCTTATGGATTTGACTGCTTTGAGTTTTGGAAGGAAACGGATATGAAATAATACGCTTACAATATAGTCCATAAAAACCTTAATTTTATGATGTAGAAGCGATCCCAGGTCTCCGAGAGGAATGTATACTATTTGACGAAAAATATAGTGCCATTAAGCGTAAAACGGACTCAAGCACAATAAAGAGCAGCGAGCGAGCGACTAGCAGAACAGACACACAGACAAGCGTGGCCAGCCTAAACAACATGTTGCGTGGCAAGAGTGCTTACTGTATGGGGAGGTAAGGTAGAGTGGGTGATGGAAGGGGGTCATATTTCCGCGGACGGCCGCGTGATAAGTGTCGCCTCTTGACATACTCAGCGTCGTCCACCATCCAAAATGATCCAAAGTCATCTTCATAGCGGACAAAACACTTGTGTAGAGAGAGATTGGTGCGGATGGCGTTCTGTATACACAGACCATCAACACAGAGAAAAAAGTGTGAAAGACAAAGTTAAGAAAGAGATAGAAAGAGAAAGAGAGAGAAAAGTAAAAAGACGGACTCCTAGTAACTGCCTTATAAACAACACATGTTCGGTTCGAATGTACCTGCTTTCGGAGTCCTCTGGCGCCCATTCCTTGACCTGACTTACAATGCGCGGTATGTACAAAGAAAAGCGAAGGAAGAAAAACACAAACGATTAAAAAGAGAGGTGAAAAAGATTAAAAGGTTTAGAATTCGAACCGAAATGCTTGCTAAAAGGAGCTACAGGAGTCACAACCGCTTTGTCCGGTTGACGTACCCGATGAGGCACCGTTGCGGCCGTCGCTTGTAAAACTCCATCTCATCCACCGTCCAGACGGCTCCCTTGACATTCTCCACCCGCATGAAACATTTATGGAGGGAGAGGTTGTGGCGTACTGCGTTCTATACAACATACACATTGTCACTTCATCACACACTCAACATGGGCCTTGGGCCTGCACCGTTGTCAAACATTAATAGCCTGTCCTATACCAAAAATGAAAGATTTTAAAGCAAAATTTTATGTAACTGAAACTAATTAAAGTAAATTTAAGTAAATTAGAGGCCACTCATGACACAATTTTGCATAAAACATTAAGTGAATGCATAGTAGCCTATTTTAAAAAAAGAAAATTAATACAGGATATTTTATGATTTGTGGTGATAATTACAAATAACACCCATTAATCTAACATGTATAAGAAAAAATAATGATATACCAAATTGTTTCACATGATATACAAAGATTTTCATGAACTTTTAAACATGAATAGACTTACTTATCATAATAAAATACTCATGTAATTGCAAAAAATATTGAGGTACATTTGTTAAAAATTTATATACAAATAAATACTAATAACCATAAAACTCATTAAAAACTTAAAAGGCACAAATTTCTTTAGTTTAATTAGTTGTCTTTTAATACATGTATAATCAGATTTTTAATATTTTCCTTCGTACAGTACTATAATCTTTACTTATGGTCAATTTGTTTAGTTTATATATTTAAAAAATGTAGTGTGACTTTTTTAAATGCACAAATTAGTATTATAGTTTTTGAAATATTGTAAGAGACCATAATAAAGTAGTTAAATGTAGGAAGACCTTGTTTAATTCATAAAATCTTAAGGGTTTTTGAATTGGGTGCTGTTTGCATACAGTACAGAGTGTATCTATAGTTAGTGGTTTAAATGAGTTATTGCTTACTCTGTTCATAAGGTCTTGTTTTATATTGGATATACTGTATTGGCTCACAAGTTTTTGTAACAGGAGTAGTTTGCAAAGTAAAAGGTGTATAATAAAGCCTTAACCAGAATATGGAGGAGAGGGTTTGAGATATCCAAGTTTCCAGGTAATCAGTTTTTGGTATTTGAAGGTTAACCTTCAAATACCAATGTTGTTTCCATATTCTTTAAGGAAATTATTTTCATTTTACATTTTTTGATCCCAATTCTTTAAAGTCAGATAATGAAATGGCCATCATCAATCATGCCTTGCTAGCTAGTGTTTCTTCCCAAGCATTTTGGTCAACTCAGGTTCAAGCTAAGCTGGGTTCTACTATCTTTTATATCGATTCAAATAAAATATGATACATATTATCAAATTGTTAAAATACATTTAGCCATTGTTACATTAAAGGAGTACAATCAATAATTTATGTTGTTGGAACTAATATTTCAGACTATGTGGCTGAACTAAAGAAGCATTTGAATAGATCATACAATACAATAGATCATTACAATTATGAATGAATAAACAAATTAAGTGTTTTAAGACATACTTAGAGATTGAGCAAAAATAAGCCATTCTGTTTGAACAGCTAATACAAAGTAGGAATTGAGAGGAAGAGAAGAGAATATTTCCACTTAACCATATTTTGTAGTGAGCTGTGGTAATACTTTTCCTAATTAAATTTCCACAAACCCTGATGCTTTGGGCTAAGTTTGTTTACACTTGAGTAACTCTTAAAGTGTATATGGATCATTACACGATAAAACGAGAACACCCAGTTTTAGGTTTACGTGCACCATCTGTAAGTTGAATCAATTTAGTGCAGTTTTTAAAAAAAGTCTTTATTTTATATAACTAAAAAGACACTATGTAGTAAATTATTTTCCCCCTTGTTATAAATAGTAAAAAATCAAACAAACTGTCAATGTATGTTAGTTGCAACTTATCAAATATTTATTTAAACGACACATACCTTCCATGTTGCTGCATTTCTTCTGAAGTAGCAAAACGTATTTTGGAACCAATTGTAGATCTCATTCAGTGTTAGTTGTTTATCTGGAGATTCAATAATAGACTGCACACAAATTAAAACTGATGTATTGACTTATAATCATAAAACAATGGTTTAAGCTAAGTGAAACTCTAGAAAACTAAACATTGCAAATTAATAGACATTAGGTATTTTATACAAATTTTACACTTTATTTGATGTATTGAAGTTTTAAATCCAACAACTCTTTTTATGGTGAAATATTAAAAGCAGAGTTTGATGCAACGATTAGATCCATGCATTGTAGAATGTGATTCACTTACCTGTCTGATCAAAGAAGCGTATGTGAATGGTGGCCTGACATCGGCATTCTTATAGAACTCTCGATTTCTTTGTATTTCTGGAAAATGTAATTAAAACTAACAATGGCAACTAATTCAATAGTTAAAAAATTAAACCTATTAAATAAACTTATTGCAAAATATTAGTTTTAGTTACATAATGTAAAAAGTTATTTTTCCGTAAACATTTTTTAGAGCTCATTCAAAAATTAGGATTTTTTAAGTATTAGTAGATGGTCACCTAATTAAAATGTGTCAATCTTTTACTTCCCGCAAAGGTATGAAACAATCAAAGAATTCTTAATATCCAAATATGAATTTATCTGAGTAAATCATCCGTCGCAAAAGTGTTAATAAAATATTCATTGTCAATTAAATTCCTATAACCAATTTCTATAATAATGTAAGCGTATATGTACTGTGTAATCCTAGGGTTTAGCTTACTTCCTGAAATGTATAATTTGTGAATACTAAGTATGAATGTCTGATTATATGAAGTTTGAAAGACACAGATAGTTATAGTAGCCCTTAATATCTTTTGATAAATTAATGATTTTCACCATAGATTAAATAATGGTATGAATAGAACATACCTTGTTGAACGTCTAGACCTGCTCTCTCAAGCATATATGGTAACCCTGTGAGCACAAAGGAATCATTGGTGTATTGCAGTTACGCCATTCACACTAGTACTAAGCCTAGTAATACCTTTCCAGGTAAAATCATAATTTGGTGAATATACAGCAAACTCTAGTTAATTTTTTCATGATATTATGAAGCACCTCCAAAAAAGTATTACACACAGATTAACTTTTTAGTTGTATAAAAAATTTCATTTAGCATTTTTTTTTTAAATTATGTTATGTTGCTTACCTAATGTTAATGTTTTTTAGGAACACCAACAATGAAATCAGCCGATATAATGATTTAGCAAGCGGAAATGAGGTATTCTACGAACTGTTTACAGGTGTGGCAATGTAATCATTTCCATGCGGTGGTAAGAGGAGAAAAATATTTGTACTCATATACATACTGTAAACCGCATCATAAATCACCTGTTTTTTTGTATTTTTTTTAATGAATGAGGTTGGTGACTTCTATTTACCTTACATTTGCCTGTCACATGGATCTTGATTTGCGTGAATCGCATCAAACAAAGTAAGGGGCGCTACTGTAAAAGAGTGAACTGTGCTGATAAAACTTTATAGCAGGCAATAAGACCCACAACATCACTGCCTTGAACTTCTAGTCCATTGCACAACCGCTGAGCCACTGACTCACATCACATTATGTTAACATTTATGGTAAATAAGCCAAGACTGAATGTTGCATGAACACACCTCCTGATAGCGAAAGCGCAGATTTTTCATAGATCCTTCGTTTGGAGGGAGACATGAGACTCGGAGTTGTTGGTCGCAGAGGGTTGATGGAGGAATGTACTGTAGACACGAGAGAAGACAGAGATACTGGAGGTACTGTGGCTGGCAGACAGGGCTGAGGCTGACTACTGATGTAGGGTTGTGATGGACTCATCTTTGGTAAGCACAGGCTGCTCTGTGGGGTAGAAAGGGAATATTACAACATTTCTAGAAACCATTGCAAACATTTCCTACCCATTATGTGTTTGAAGTTTCTTTTGGCGATGGCAAGTGTATATAATTTGAGGGATTATTGTGGATATTCCCCATCAACAAGTTTACACATCATTCGTAATCTCGAAGATTAGTTGACTATATCAAAATCCATCGCAATAGTTTCCTATAAATTCTTTGTTTAATGCTTATATTTGATAATTGTAAATTTATGTTATTTGATATTGCAAACATTTTCCATCCTAAATAGTTGAAAAAAGTTTTCAAAATGCCTTGGGATCTGGGATCTCAAAGTTTAGTTCATTATTATTCAGTACTTTATGTCGGTTCCTTTGTAATTTTCCAGTTTTGGCAGAGTTTGTTTTCTAATCTTTATGTTTTGGGTTCTTTCTCACCTAAGAACTAGATCAGATTCTAGATCCTGATACAATGTCAAAACTTGTCTTTTACTAATAATTGTGATGAAAAATATCACTCAAATAGAATTTTCTTTAAATTATATTAAAATCTTTACTTATCAAGTAAATCATTTTTCTCTCATTAATATAGTCTTATGTATAATAATAAACAGATATACAGTAGATGGTTTTCTTTTATGTACTTTCAAGCAATTCACTTACTTTAGAGCAAAGAACTTCCATGCAAATCCTATTTTAAAATATATTCTTTAACATCTTTATCCTTTGTTAGATATACTACACAACACACTTGAAATAAAATGTAACTGAATGTCTGTGTAACCAGAGAGGTTCTAATGCTTTTGTATTTTTATGCTAGTTTTTAACCAGATGCCTACTCTGTCACCTTTACAAAAAACTGCCAAAGTCTATTACTTTGTATGAACAATTATGATTAATTTGGAGTATTCTTTGCTTTTGTTTTCAAAAATAGCTACATATTAAGCTATCCTACTCCAGAAATCCTTGTGGGAGGATAATGACGGCAGTAGATGACCATCCAAAACATCAAGCAATACAACCGACTCTTACTATTCTGACATCAGAGGACACAATTGACTGAATGAGAAAACTTTTTGGGTATGAAACGAATTTGTTTTCTTACATTAGAGGCCTCTCTATCCTGTTCTCCTCCCTGCTGTTTGGACATGTGCAGATGTAACATCATCGCCTGCAGTCTGTCTCGCTCCTTCTGCAACTGCAGTTTCAGCTGAGAGACCACCTGCATCTGCACTCGGGCCTGCGCTGTCGACCGATCATCTAGACTGTGCTCCTTGTGTAGATGTCTGTAACATGGAATATATGCCACAAGGAGTCTTTATGAAAGCTTCAAATTAGAATTGAATCAATTTGAGAAAACATTGTCAAACATGAGCATTGTTATCAAGAATCTCTAGTGATTTTCTGTATCAACCGAGTTGTTGGTTGGAGATCACTGCCACCTGCCAGACATTTCGCACCTACGTCTGGTTTAAGACGAGAAATAACGTCAGCGTTGAGTGACTAAGGGTGTCTCTTTAAAGTAAAGGAAAAATGTCTGGCAGCAACCTCTAGCTGTCGATTCTCAAAACTAATTCTAATGACACCAGCTGAAAAAGTCCATGAGTTGCAATTATTGACCAAAAACCCGTAATGTCAAGCTAGAGAAACCTCAATTGGCTTATTTCTCCCTTTTTTTTTAAACAGATGCTTCTAGGCTATAGCTATACAACGATGAACAACATTGTACAAAATATGGAATTATTTTAATGCAGTGGAAAGGGAAAACATCTGAAACTTCAAACAATCTGGAGCTTTTTATCAGTCATTTCACCACAAGATTCTGATAGATGTTCCTCTTCAAATATTTTGGAGAGATACTTCAATACAGGAAAACTTACTTGAAAAATGCCTGTATGTCTTCGCAGACTGCTTCACACCCAGGCCACTTACAGATGCCGTGGCCGAAGAGCAGATGGACTTTGGTACCAGGCGGGGGCTCTCCTTCACTGGCCTCCTCTTGGGTTCCCGAGCTGCCTCCGTTCAGGCATTCACGCCTTGAGATACCCATTGATGCAAGGAGCCCTGTGCAATACATCAGCCATCTAAATAAATGTCAAGTTAGTTTACATCCCTACATTCCCAAACAGGATGATTTTAGATAGGGTAAATATGAGGTCATAAACATCACGATATGGTTACAACCCAACGAAATAATAACAAAGTTCCAGTGTGTGTTGTTGCTGAAATTTGTTTTACCAAGAAATCTTTTTTCCTCAGAACTTTTTCACCTCAATAGAACGTTTTCATCCCTACTGTATATACATTATTTGATAACCAAAATAAGCGTTATGAAGAATATGGGACATAAAAATGTTACTTTTAGCACTAGAAAAACAAATTAACTGGTTATTATTTTTAAGTGTTGCTTAGTGCTTAAGTCAACTATCAATTACGTCTTGAGCTGCAAGACCTAACATACATTCATGGTCTGTAGATGTTGTTGAAACATACCTAGTCAAGACTCCTCTACAGGGCTAATTCAAATTTCAAGTGACACATTTGCAGGTGAGGGTTTTAAATTATATTTAAAAAAATATTTGTATGCTTACTCTACAAAAAATAGGCATATGTAAGTATAAGATGAGCCAGTCTAGGACTCATAAAAGACACATAAAAGGAGACAAGCACACACGTCATAAACGTACAGTCGTCTTGGTGTTACTCTGCACGAGATCGAAATACGGTATACGTCCTGCTTCATTAGGAGATTGACCAAGTGTAAGTCGCTTAATAATTTTGAACAGTAATTACTACGTAGGCCATCGTGAGATGAACATTCTAAATATAAGTAAGAAACACGAAGTATTCATATTCATGACTCGAGAGCACACAACGTAACATGTTTACACTGCAAAAACAGCAGACAGAGAGCATTGTGTAATAAGGTTGTCTGTGTTGGGCGCTGGACGCTGGATTCCTCTTGTGTTTAATTTCCATTATCTTATCGACAATGATGTTTTAATAGTGTCATTTAATTTTGTTATTTATTTAATTAAAACCAAAAGTTAATAATATAGCGTACTTATCAATCAACTTTCACTTGTGACAAAAATGGAATGGCAGTTCTTGAAAAGATTAATGTAGACCTAAATACCCCCGCCGCAGCAAACCTGCAGACTAAGCGAATTTCCATTTGACTGATTGGATTTACACTGAAATGTCTACTTAAAAATATAACATTTATTCCCTATTTAAATAGAATTAGTTTAACAAGTACTTAGGTTTGCTGCATCAGGGAGGGTAAAACTGTTTTTTTGTAAATGTTAATAGTTAGTAAGAAATAAAAACATTTTCCAAATTTGATAAAAATATGTTCTTAAACAAGCAAACTACAACAGTTTACTTATTCTCCATAAGAATAACATAGGAATTTTAAATTTAAAATTTTTGGAATTTACTCCGTAACCATTAGGCGCATAATAACGCTTCAATATACTAAATTATTTGTTTTTTTAAGCTCTACAAAATAGTTTGGAAAGAAATTGCAAAATTTTATGTTTTTTGAGTCAAAAGTGGGGAAAACCCATTTTTACCCCATAAAACCCCCCGTAAACCCCCGTTCCCATGGTCCGATCATGCTGGTTCGCGAACTCGTTCGAATAAACGTAGGTTTACACGTTTGTACCAAATTTCATCAAAATCGGATCGCTTTTGCTCGAGTTATCGCGCTAACGGACACATATATAAATATATATATATATAAATATATATATTTATATATATGAATTTGAACGGATGGTGTTTTTGGCCTCTAGGGACCTCTAAACGAAAAAAAAATCGGTCCCGGGTCCAGGTCTTACCATGAGTACTACGGTAATAGCTTATTCCCTATATGGGAAATTCGCTAAAACGAAAAATGGTGTATACATAAGCGAAACTACCCGTTGCTAGGAGTAGAACTGACACATAAACAACAAATATTGCTGTTGAACTAGGCCCCGTCCTAGCTGAGCGATGAAAAATCGGTCGGTCGTCCTTGCGAGCGAATTTTGTCTGACGACTGAATTGAGTGTCCACACGAGCCTTGCTTGCAGGTCGCAGCGACTGACAAAAGTTTCTCTCCATTCGACCATTGTTCCCATGTAGCATTCCTGTGGTCCAACTATTTCTTATTAAGGTAAGCATAGATTATAGAAGAACTGTCCAGCAGCATGAGCTTACGTCTTTTCTCGACCAATAACGTTAACAATGGTAGAATGGAGAGGAACTAGTCATTAGTCGCTGCGACGACTGCACGGCCGAGTGTGGACACTCAATACCGTCGTCAGACTAGACTCACTCGCACGGACGACCGACCGATTTTTCGTCGCTCAGCTAGGACGCCGCAAAGTTTACAAATTATATATAATGTTTAGGACAGTTTTTCTTTATTTACTTTTAATCTACCAGTTTTATAAATGTACCGTGTGTTGAAAAATAATTTAACTAAATATACCTGATAAATTAATCATGCTGCCTACAATGACAATATTAGACATACGGTAGATGACATCAGTATACAGAAGAAAAAAAAACATTGCTTACCGTCTGATTATTTTCCTACCGTACATATTGTAATAGTTACACGCCGATGAGAAAATACACAAACATTTAAAATAGTATATTTTAATTCTTTACTACAATGACGTAAACAAAAATGGATGTTAATCTTACTTAAAAACATTTCAGGACATAAGATAGACAGGACATCAATAAATCCGGGGTCTACTGCACAAGTAGTAGTAGTATTTATGTATTGGCGATTTTAATAGCCGTCGTAAATAAATAGAGTACCTACTCGTTCGATGGTAAAAATCACATGATTCTATTAGCTAAACCTAAAACAGCTTCCTAAATATAAAACGCCAAAGACTAAAGACCCTCATACTTTCCATCTCCATCGCTTTTAATTCTTGGTCGTTATTCTATTAACAAGTGAGTTGTCTATAAACTAATTTTTTAGAGGTTGGGGACCTCTCTTAACCATTATTTGCTCACCCAAATCTATCTCAAAAGCATGTGTGTGAAACGTATCACGTTTAGCAATCAAGGGGTTAGCCAGTACAGCAAAGAAATTAATTGTAGTGATAAATTTGAGTGGAGGTATTGGAATGTGAACTCAAGACAACGTTGTCTTGGTATCACACTCCGCCGCTCTACCCGACTGAGCCACCGACTGGCTTTGCCATTTATTTCACATCATAAACCTATATTTGACACTCCTTTTGCAACATGGAACCAAATAGTTTCTGTTACGAATCAGGCTATATCAACACAATTATACCTAATGAGAAAGCAGCAGGATTGATACATACTGAATCAAACTTGTTGGTATAAAATTGGCTTCGAACAGTGTTTAAAACATAGTTCAAACATTCAAGATAGTAGCCATTTTGAAGTGCAGAAAATAATCCCACCTTCCTGAGAAAATCGTTCGATAGCTCTTTTCCGATACGTTACCTACAAGCTGTTTAAGAGGTTAATTTACATGAAATTCCTCTATATCCTCAATCCTACTTGAATTACTCATTCCAGTCTAGAAAGATAGATCATTCCAAGACGCGAACTGCTGCCATCAGTTCAGATCTTTAATATCTCTCATTGAGAAAAACCTCTACAACATTCATTATGACAGTAGTTTACGATACAACATTCATTATGACAGTAGTTTACGAGACAGCACGAAGGACAGTTTTCTTAGGGAAGCTTTGCATCATATCTTGCCCTTCTTGTTGAGTATTCTTAATTCAATGCTATAAAGTAGAATGATAAAAGTATATCTGAATCTGGGACGGTTTGCAAGACTTGCCGCAGGGGATGGTGCTCGCCCTATTGTTGTTCAATGTGTATACTTCCCATTAAGTTGTAGTAAGTTAGCCTACACTAAATGACCTGGCTTACCAGAGCCAACGTTACAACCAACTTTACATCAACCACAAGGGGTACTAATTAATCCCCTAAAAAAACACTAACGTTTCTTGAAGCTATATCAATAAACTTTTAAGTAGAGGTATAAGAACCAAGACGCTTGGTATGCTGATGCCAACATTCTATTTCATCTGATTTATGCCAGTTAACACACAACATCAACAATATGAATTAAATGTTCAAATGATGCTACAATTTACAATAATTTGTCCTTTCAGTTAAGTGTTTTTAACATTGGCTCACTATACAGAAATAATTAATTTACACCAGCGCACTCTATCGGTGGCTCAACATGAGTCAGATTTGTGTTAGTAATTTTCAAAGCTAAAGCATAATCCAGCAAAAACTACCACCGTTTGCCGAGTGCCGTCGCCGTCATTTTGCACCCACTCTATGTTGACTTTGCTTGGATCAACAATTTGATCTTTATGCTCTATTGTTTATTGACGGATAACCCACTCCATGGTTTTATAGATAAACAGACAACAAATACTTACAACAAAATTGCGTTAAAAATTAAATAAATTTGCACTTGACTCTAAATTCTGTGAGGGTTTAATACCATGCGGTAAATAAAACACTTCTTAAACATAAAAAAAATTGGGGGGAAATGTGTTTATGCCGTTAATAAACGCCTAAAGACGCGGAGGATGTTCAAACAAGAATATGCCTACGTGGCTTGTGTTTACAGTCTGTTGTAAAAGCATCAGGTAGCTTGTTGACAGTACAGTACAGTATCAGTGCATTAGATGGCTCTCAGGGAAAGGGTGGTAGCCAGAAATGCTGTCGTTTTCTTAGCATAGCTTGATTGCCCCTCATATTGTTAGGTGGGTAGTAAGGGGTGGAGTTAGCAACGACGGTGTGGGAGAGGGGATTGCTCAATACTGACTGGAGGGGCGAGCAGGGCGCCCTTAGCAGGTTCGGCTTGCATCTTTGAATCTTAAATAACTATAAACTTTCTTCCGAAGCGTCGACGCCAATACTTACCTTTACAGACAATCGAAATAAAATATTCACAATCGACCGCAGCCTTTTTGTCGAATAAAAAAATGTATATTTTGTTATTCAGTGTTGTTTTAAGGTTGGATTACTACTTGCTGCGGCTACGACACGTA